GTTGCTCTCATATTATGAGAGCAACCGGCCCATCATTAGTCAAAACCGAGTCAGTCAGTGCGGACGTTGCATTTTGCCCAGCAATCAGTTGCTAAAAGGCAATCCTAAGGAACCAGCGGACATTCTAGTTGTCCAAACCCCAAGTATTGGGGGGTACTTGGCGGGACCAACCAAACATGGCAATCAAAATGGAGATGGCTAGTCAAAGGCACAAGCCACAATCCATAAGTTCTAAAGCGAGGAAAAATCAACCCTTTCTTGCGCTCAATGGTCAAGAGCCATGGGTGAAAAACGACCCCCTCTCCAGGGACAAAATCAAAATCAGCTTGAGGGCACAGGATCCACAGAGGGGTGTGAAAATATTGGAAACAAATCCAAACATCCAATTTGGGACACCTGGCAGGGCACTAACGATTTTGAGGTGTTCACCCAGGTACTTTAACCGAAACTCATTGAGACTGACCCAAAAGCCCACCCGCCCCCGCAAGTGTGCTTCTTTTGTGAGGGCACACTTTTTGCATTTTGTGAGTTTGAAAAACACATCAAGCTGGACTCCGAGTCGCTTTGAAGGACTTCTTGCCCTTCGCCGGAGTCTCCACATCATCCTGCCAGTCCGAGTGAACAGTCGAGGACCCAGGATGACGAACACCTGGCTGATTCATCCGGAATTTGTACAATACTTCCACGCTCCGAAACAAACCTTGGAGGCCCAAATGACGCCATCATGATGACCTGGTTTTACCCACACATCGCTCGTGCAACATTGATCCCTTTTTGGAGGACCTGAGAGGGAGTGAATCACCTCAGCCCCCGAAATGGTCATTGGATCTTCAGTGGAAAAGCGGGAGCTCCTGCCTGCTGTTTCCATTATTTGACTTGTGCTCGCATCCGGGAGAATGTGCTGAAGGATCTTGTGAGCAAAGCCCATGCTGGAGATAATGATCACGTTGTACTTATGTATGCCAGTCAAAGCGGCTTCGAGACAGGCTGTCAAATAGTGACCATGCAACAATACAATCCACACTGCGCTAAAGGCGACACGCATCAATGAACCAAAACCGGCCAAACACCCAACAAAAGGCACCAGTGGAACCCATCGATTTCTGCAACTCACCGATGCAATTGCCAGACAGGTGCTCTATGGTGCTCTCATTGGAGACACACTGAAAGCAAAACTTATCATTGATTGCCAGTGGCGCAATTCAGGGTCAAGCAGGGTAACCTCTGCATAGCAAAGGACACAAATCGCACACGTCCCAGTCCAGGTCGCCATCCTCCGGCACTGGCACATCCTCCGGGCGCGGCGCCTCAGGGCGAAGAGACAGCTTTGGGTTGGAAAAATGCGAAGACGTGCTCGAAACAAAAACGAAAAGGACACCATTTGTTTATTGGGGCCCCGAAACAAAACAACAACAATACAGGATGGCCGCAAATTTCATTGGGGCCCCGAAACCAAAAAAACACATGATGGTGTGGTTTCCCTGGCCTGTTCGATCCACGAACTTGTTGTCAGTGAGCAGCTCACCCAGGGCTCACCAGTGACAATTTCGTTTAAACGGGAACACAAAAGCCTCGGAGGCTGCAAGCAACTGCGAAGTGGCTCAACAATCAAGTTCCTTCTGCATTTACTATTATTATTATTATTATTATTATTATTGTTGCAAAATCGGGATTTGGACCCTCAAACTGGATTTCGGTTTTCCTTGTGGTTTCACTTAAAAACTAAGCTAAAAAGGGACCAACCCAAAAAAACAACCCACCCATCGCGGGACACCTACGCCGGCCTTGCCGCTGTTTGGGCCTTTGCCATCTTTCTTCTTGCCCGCCTTGCAAGCGGAGACAGGGAGGATGAAGCGGTCCGTTGATCTCTTGCTGAAAGCCAACCCAAGAAGCCTGCAAAAAATAGGGGGGTTCTACAGGAACTGACCCTGTTGTTGGGTATTTGGAATCCGATGCATGTAGAATTTCCTGTTGCTGGATAGCTAGACTGTTGGTGGGACATCTCGAATATCTCCAACTCCGTGGTCCAAGGAGGCCCAAGGGTTGGCGCAGGTCACACAACAACATGCGCCTCTTTTGGGTGATTCAAGGAAACCCATTTTGGGGTTAAGGTCAACAACTGCCCAACTTTTGTTGGTGGAGGTGAGAGGCTTAGCAAGAATAAATGTCTGCTTCTTTGATGTCAACGAAAACTCACTTTTGGAGGGGGACACCCCCATCTTCATAAACAGGGGTTTCTTAGTCCAGAGTGAACACTAGCCCTCATCCAGGCACCGAACCCTAAGCCAACCCCATCCTCCCATCCCACTCGCGAGTGCCCGCCTTGCCGGCCTTGCGAACCTTCACCTGGCAAAGCTTAACACACACCATGGTTGGTTCTCAAATAGGGGTCCTCTTCTTAGATGGTTCCAAGGAGAAACCGAAAAGAAACCAACCACCTGAAGGGTCCGGATTCTGCAAAACGCCCATATAGCTGGAAGTGGGGCCTGGACATGATTTTCCCCCTTTTGGATTGGCAATCTTGGGAGTTTTCTTGGGGACACAGTTAAATAGGGGCGGCCTGAAACCAATCGGAACAATCGACACATCCCCTTTAGCTTCGGGACATTTAGGAAATAGCCAAAGAATCATCAAAGCCGGGGGGGACCTGGGCTAATTTGTAGACTTAGACTGGAGCGGTTGTTGTTTGGAAACCATGTTTTTTCGTGTTAGAATCAGAACTCTCCACCAACAAGTTGAGACAGGTGACCACCCACCACCTAGTGTGAGCTGGTGGGAAATGTCAAGTTCTTGTCAAGATGCCGATGCAAACGCAAAGAACGTGACTCAACACCTGTCGACATTGCTTTTTGAAAGAGGGTCCTTTGGGTTCTCCTGTTGCATCCAAAAACAGATGAGATGTAATCCGCGCGGTTTCGTGGGCCCCTGTGAAAAGTCCGTTGGATTTTCTCCTTTGGAGCCTTCCTGAGAGGGTACCCCTTCGCTTGCAGAGGTATCCAGGGTTGCCCAGAAGAAAAACGGCCGGCGTTCCGCCATACCGCTTGGCCTTTACAGCGAGCCAAGTCTGACTTCATGCAAGTTGTTTGAGTCCTGGGAGACTGGGTCCCTTATATGGGTATGTCGCTTTTTGAGGGTGCTCTTGTTTGGTGGTTTTCGAGGGAAGTCAAGGCGTCCTCCAGAAAACGACATACCTTCAAGGGGACATCCTCAAAATTGCCCTCTGAACAGCTTGAAGGGAAAGAGAATCCCTCGAAGTACTCACTGCGATGGACCCAAAAGAATAGGTCTAATTAATGATAGTTTGGGGGGGGCTTCCCACTACCCTCCACAAGAACCAGGGGTTCAAGTCCCACCGATCCAAACCACCAATTGAGCCACAATCAAAACCCGGTAGTAAAATGGTCTACCCAGCACCATGCTTCAAGAATTAAGAAGGCGGATATCCGCACCTATTTCAGGCTGGGACTGCCCCTTGCGAACCGTCATCTACCCGGGTTCCGGTTTTCAACGTGGCTCAATGGGAGTTGCTTGGTTGACGTTGGAAGGGGAGCAAACATTTGAAAACTTTAGCAGTTAAGTGGTTGGATTTCCATCACTAAACCACAAGATCCGCAAACATGTACAAAAATGCTTCCCAACGACAACCATGGCTGGAAGCTGAAAGGAGCCCATCCGATTTTCTCTTCGATCCAAGGCTTTGAGCTTGCAAGGTTGCAACTCCCCGTGAAAGGAGCCTCGTGGCTGGCTCGTCCTCTAGGGGTCCCAATTGGTATGGTAGCAAACAACTCTTGTTTTTGCAGCCCTACTAAAAATGAACAGAACCAACCAACGACAAAACAAACACCCTACTAAACATGAACAGAACCAAAAAAAAAAAAACTAATGCTTGCCAAGAAGAGAAGAGGTCGTGAAGCCATCTGCCGTTTCAGAAGTCCCCGAATGGTGCAGAGACCAATGGGTGTGTCTTTCTTTAGGAATCCCCTCCCCCCGCCACAAAATCAATGAATAAATGAGTGGCTTTCTGTTGGTGTCCCTGCGAAAATCCAGCCCACAAAAGGATTCCCCTGAGCAAAAAAGGAACCACACCCTAGTCACCCGGCGGCGCGGAAGTTCCTTTTTGCGCTCACGTGGCTTGGCTCAACATCCTGACATAACAGCTCTGGGGGTCCGAAGGAACGCGTTTAGACATGGCCAGTGGCTCTGAATGGGTTGTACAGACCTTGTATGCTGGGCAGAGTACATACCCCAAAAAAGCTGGAAAAATGGTTTGTACTGCTGGGTTCACCCATGGTACACCCATCATTATTTTGAGAAGCGCGAAAAAGAAGGATCTCTGGAAAGAATGTAGGAAGCACAGCTTGCGCAAGTTGGCCTCCCAAAGAGCAACAATCAGACTTGGGACACCTGGAGCTGTCATGCGTGGGCAACGCGAGCCAGCGCAAAGTCCTACGTCCTACACAGCCCGAAGGCCGAGTGTGCCGTGAGTTCTGTTTGTTTGGAAGGCTGACGTGAGATGACGTGAGTTTTGTAGTCCTGAGCTGGCGATTTAACGCGAGTCCGCCCCAAACCTGCGCTTCAACAGAGCCAACATCTGCCAAACTGGTATCGAGTTGCCCACAGCAAGGGAAAAATCAAAGGCTAACCTTTAGTGGCCATGACACAACATGGACCAAAAAGGGGAAACCAAAAGGTCAAAAGATCGGCCGTGGGCAAGTGAGGGTAAAATAGTGGGCCGGACCTCTGCCAAACCTCTGCTAAGCTTTTGGTTTCAAGCTCTTCCGTCCTCGAAAATCGAGCTGTCCGCCTGTGGAGCATCCGAAAGCCCGCAGCAGAAGGACGAGGCAACCCAGACCTCAAACTACCCCTGAAAGTAGGACTCACCAATAAGTTTGGGCAATACTAGACAGATTGCTAGAATTTCCCATTGGACTTCTTTTTTAAAACCATCCCCTATCTTTTGAGAGGGGGGGACCCACGTCATGGGCGAGTTCGCTTTAGAGCCCACGATTTTCCCGGACTCTCCAGCGGGGAAGCCTACCACCTTCCGCGCATCGGCTCTCGGCAAGTGCCCGGCGCCGCGGCGCCGTGGGCCCTCACTGCTCCTCCTCCTCCTCCCCAACGTCCTTCCGAGCCGAGCCGGGATCTCAAAATTGCTGGATGATTTTTCTATCTTTGTGTGTAGCTAAATGGCCATGGGTCGAAATTAAACCACCAATTGGACCGCAGGTCTTGGTCCGTGGTTTTCCTTTTGCCGGGGCTTCGTTTTGGGCACCTACTTTTGACCCACAGCCAAATGAACACCTAGATCTGTTTGATTACCAATATTCATTCGAAATACATCTACGTGGGTCTCCCCATTTCACCGAAAGAAGAACACCTCAAACGGGCAAGCATGGTTGTTGCAGCAACAACCCAGTTTAGCCAGGTATTTGGAAGGTTTGGGAGAAGGCCCAAGAAGCAATAGCTAACGTTCAACTTGGGCTAATCACAACTGGGTTGCTCGAACTGACACAGCTGCAAATGGATGAAGTGTTGCAGAAAAAGTCATGTTCCACATGGACTGCTTCAAGTCCAACCGAGCCAAGGTACGAGCAAGAAAGTGTGTCCAAGAAAAAGAAGAAGAAAAAAAAAACACATTTTATTCCCAAAGGCATGCATTTGCAGATTCTACCATTTCAACAAAATGAAGCGACGCCTCCAAGAAAAGAGCCTGCGTCATAGTGAGTTTGTCTTGCGGTCGAGGGTGAGCTCGAATTGAGCAACAAATGCCTGAAAGAAAAAAACAACCAACAGACCTAGCTCATGAGATCGCTTCTACCCAGTCAACTCGAATGGATCGACTTAAAACAGGATCCACAAAAGGAGCACCTACCACAAGCACAAGCAAACGCCTCAACAAGTCAATGAAAGAGATTTGGGCGGAATCTGGGGGGTCAGCAAGGTTTCTTGGATTTCCTTGAGAGGCTGGATTTGGGTCTCTCCATTTTTTAGGGGACCCCCGCAAAATGGCTTCAGTCATCCTTTTGGTTTCCCGTTCAAACCACCAAATTGAGGGGTACCAACTCCAACAAAAGGCACCCATCTCAACATCACTTATGCATCACCAAAAGATGTAGGCCGCTAACTTGGACCCTCCGCCAAGTTAAGTGGAAAACGTCACGTGGGATGTTGCACCCCCCAACAAGCTTAACCCCACTGAGCGGGGACTTATTTCAGTGGGTCTAGGTCCTCCAGTAGAGAGGTTATAGACTAAGGGTACCCTTCTTTTCTGTAGTCTATTTTAGTAGAAACAACCCTCCCCCAAAAAAAGAAACGGTAAAAGTTGGCACTGGGGGAGCTAGGGGGTATTAACCCAGGTCAACAAGTTGCTACCCCGGCGAAGCGAACAGCAGAAGGAGGCTTCGAGCCCTCCGGGCTCCTCCGGCCATTCGAAGAAGGACATGTGCTTCCTCGCCGCGCCTCGCGGATGGGGTTCATTGGTACATTTTGGCAAATTGTCGGAGCGTGGCATATTTTAAACACCCCACTTTTGATTATTTTTGCGGGGGAGGGCTTCTAAGGGGAAACCACAAGGACACCCGAAGCCATTTTGGAGGACCTTCTAAAACAAGACACACCCTTGTGGGGAACGGCAAATCAGCGCTTGGTTTGGGGGGGGCGGGAAAGGGGTTTAGCGTCCTGCAATTGGGCTACGAGGTGAAGGGGCCGGATGCTCTTTGAATCAATTGGGGTGGCCATCAGGGCTCTCCGACGGCCGAAAGGTTACGCTTGGGAAGCCAGTGGAAAACCGAGAAACACACATGCTCCAACGGTCGGCTTTGGGCAAGTCAGCATTTTTGAGCCCCGCTCGAGGCCCTGAGATCTAATTATACGGCTCGTGTGGCCACAAGTGGATGTTTCTTTCAAGGTCCTTCCGTGCTTTCCTGAACAGAGTGCAGCCTACCGCGGTTGTGGTGTGGAGACACCTTTGATCCGGTAGACTTCAAAGGGCAGAGTCCAAAGAAAACATTTGAAGGGGTCCCTGAAGCCCTTCGTTTGCTTGTCCCTTAAACCCAGCCAGCCCTTTATAGAAGTAAAGACCTCTTAGCCGACTGCAAGGCAGGTACAGCCAACAATGTACGAAACCCGTGGCCTTATTACTGTGGATGGACGAAATTCGCTTCGCACCTTATCCCAGTACTCCTGTGTTTCGCACTGCCGTTCAGAAACCCCGTTTTCTGATTCGATTTTCTGGTTTCAACCACGGTTTCTGAGCTTCAGAAACCCTGAAACGATGATTTCTTCTGTAAAAATACCAACCAAAAAAAACGTTTCCCATGGTTTCTGCACTGATTCCCCTGCACATTATCCAACAAACCATGGCTTCCAATTGGTTTCTGCACGGTGGGACGTCTTAGCTGGTGGCCGCCAGGGATTTCACCGCCATCGACAGAGGGGACAGCTGGACAGCTCGCCTGTGACCTCCTCGTCGATGGAGCGGGCCACCGCCTGGCGGTTCAAGGGGAAGGGCGAGGCAAAAGACCGTCACTTTTTCTGCGGGGTTGACTCGTTTCTCTGGCGCTGACCCGTGTTTTTCCTGGGGATTGACCCGTTTTTCTATGGCTGACTCATTCATTTGAAGGGGATTACACCAAGAATCTCACTTGTTCGGGGGGTTGCTTTCTGCTCCCCTGCTAAAAGTGTAGCTTTTAGCAGTTAATTTGGAAAAGCCAATAGTTGGCAAAAAGCTAAAGTCCTATCATCCCTTGGCAAAATGCTTTGAAAGTTTTTCTGGGGTTGACTCGTTGATTTGAAGGGGAACACACCAAAAGGAGCTTAGACCGGTCCCCTCTCTTAACCTTCCGGGGCTAAAAGATAGCTTCCACTATAGTACTGTCCAGTAACCCTGGTCGTACAAGGGAAGCCATCTTTGGGTTGACCATTCGGAGGTGAAAATTTAGGGGGACCCGCCGACCGCCGCAAGGGAAACTCGCTCTACGCTTTGCCGGGCTGAAAAAAGGGCAGCGGTCACTGCAAATGTTGCATGTCCAAAACCTAAAACAAGTTGAATCCCCGGGTAAAGGATCTTCATGCTCGTTTGACCTGGTGAGCTAGCGCAACCCAACCTTTCTTTTGTAGGTTCCATTTATTGCTCTTGGAAATATGTGTTTTCCACCCACTAAGACGCTGCTGTGAAGTGCTCAGCTGTCCATCACAAAAAAATGTCTCGTTGATCTTCGGGGGCTCGGTGTTTCGGGAGGTCTGTAGGAAGGTACATAGAGGGTACGTATTCATCTTTTACAAGGGATGCTCTTGCGCAGCACGTGCCTTCTCGCCTTAGAAGGTTACAGGGATATATTTTACATAGTTGCCTCGGGTGGCCCCTGTGCTTCCTACGCAACCCATTCATTTATCCCCAAACATAGCGGGCTTCGGTTTTCTTTTGGATTCTGTAAACCGACTAGAAGGGGGGGGTTCCCCCCAAAAAGGACAAGCCCACATGGGCTAGTTGCAAATAGGAGGAACCGTGCCTTCACTCTATTTCCTTGCAAAGCAACCCACACAAGTCCAACTCGCAAACAAAACATGCTTTTGCCCACAGGGGTACTCAAAACAAACTCTGGCTCTGTTCCATATTTAGAACCCCCCCTAAAAAAACACAAGCAACTATCGGTTTGGAGACCCCAAATACCCACACCCAACTTGCGCAACCCATCGATCCTCAATCTTGTCAAGGCGGATCGGCCGTTGCCTCGGAATGCGGACTTTTTTTGGGGTTGTTGGGTTCGTCTCCTTTTCTGGTGCGATGTGCAGGGAATGAGGGAATGAACCGGAAGAGGGTCCCTTTAAAGGAAACCACCAGTTGGATGGTTTTTCTTGCCCTGCTGAGCACCAGCAAGTTGTTTGGTGTACCCCGCATGGCTTTGGCCATTCTGTTGGCTTCCCTTTGAAGGTACTAACTTCAACGAAAGGCACCCATCCCACCATCACCTGGGCATCACCAAAAACATGTGGTCCCTACTTGAATATTCAGCCAAGTTAGAAAGCGGAAAACACAACTTGACCCCATTAATCTGGTTAATCCCATTTGGCGGCCCTTATAAGGAAGCTATAACCTAGGTTTCCAACAACGTACTAACTTGGCCGAACACCCAAGCCGGATTCTTTGAACAAGTTTAGGAAGAACTCTGCGTGTGGGTGATATGTGTATGGGAAACCGTATCCCAGTTCCACTACCAGAGTCAATCAAGTCCCGGTCATTTCCCCTGTAAAGAGCCTGGCTGCGTCTGACTTCCCGGGAAGGCTCAAGCTTCAGGGTTTCAAGCCATCGCCCCCGCTTCAGCTGGAAGATCTGTTGGAAACCACCTGAGTCACCATCAAAACCTGGTACAAAAATGGTGAACCCAGAACCATGTAAAGAACTCGAAAGGCGGATGTCCACAACTATTTCCGGCAGGGACTGCCCCTTACTAACCTTCTACCCGGGTTTTGATTGTGGCTCACCTGCAGAATGGTTTTGCTCTACGCCCATCTGAAGCTTTTATCACAGCGGATGGGGCTGAAGCAGCAGGTCGTCCACGGCTTGTGCGTGGTCAAACCTCTGCATATAGGCTGATGGTGTGATCAAACGAAATGAACACACTGGCTAGTTCAGTCCTGGGAGCATTGAGCGCATTGTCAGAGGCGAGAAAGGGACAAACGGGTGCACGGGTGACTGAAAAGGGTCCACTGGAGTTTATAGGGGTTGATGAAGGCTCATAGGGGCTCACAGGGTCCATCGAGGTTCATAGAGATTGAAATGCGGTTCATTGGTTGGTGCAGCTCTTTTTAAAACTTGTTCCGGTTCATTGGGGGCTTAAGGTGGACTCATGGGTTCATTCCAATCCTGGTGCAGCTCTTTTTGAAACTTCTTCATCCATTCGGTTCAGATAGCCAGCCGCTTGGCCAAGCGCAACTTCAGAGCAAGAGGGCGCACACATTTGTCCGTCTCTTGAGTCTGATCAGGTGTCAGCTGTGATCCACTCAGAGTCGATTCCCAAGAACTGTGACTTCCAGAAAATGTCCACTTCGAAAATTGCGCTTCACTGGTGGTTTCTATTGAAACTTCCGCTTCTGGAGGTTCCAACAAGGAAAACCCTTCGGAAACCTCCGATTTGGGACTCCCAATTTCTACCACCTCCAAAACCCATCCTAAACATCCCCCCCCGTCCCCCCCCCCAGTCCCCCCCGTCCCCCCCCCTGTTCCCCCCCCCTGTTCCCCCCCCTGTTCCCCCCCCCCCGCGCCTGAGGAAGTCCGTCATGCGCTGGACGAGGTCCCGCGGGAAACTGCTCAGGTCCCGAGACTCGATGGCGTCCTCGTTTCGTAGCCGAGGGAAATGAACAGCAGTCAGCGTTTGAGTTGGTTTGGATTGGTTTGGATTGGTTTGGATTGGTTTGGATTGGCTTGAGTTGGTTTGGATTGGTTTGGATTGGTTTGGATTGGCTTGAGTTGGTTTGGATTGGTTTGGATTGGTTTGGATTGGCTTGGATTGGTTTGGATTGGCTTGGATTCCTGGTTTGGGTTGGTAGCTTCCCGCTTATGAACATACAAACTGCCACCATGGGGTTCCAATCCCCAAGCCACCAATCCAAACCACCAAAGGGCTGCCTGAACCAGGTGACCCACGGGCATGGGAAATGGAATGGTCTTCTGCCGTTCTTGTCCTCCCACGCGAGCAGCTTCATTTAAGCTCGTCGTATGATGAAGGACCCTTCACCAAATCCTAGGCCTCTGAAATGATTGGACACTTATTTCACATATTCCACAAAGCGCCATTTGGGCCCCATGGCTACTGCTGAAGATTGCTGCCTCCTTGCCGAAAGGCAATTGGCCAAGGCTGTTGACAGGGGGTGGTGCGGAAGTCAAAAGCAAAGGAGGCGACAACCGAGTGCAAACGAAACTTACTGCTTCGCACCAGAATAACACATGCCCAAGTATGCCCTTTTGTATGCAGCAAAATGCAACTCAAGGCAGGCCCGCCTTTTGACGCCTATTTGTCCACAAGCAGACTAGTTTGTATGGTGTCTTACTCATTGCCAAGTAGAACATGCAGGGAGTTTTGTCAGGAAACTTGTTTGTGTTGCTGCAGTGGTGAGAAACCAAACTCAACAAGTGCTTCTTTTGAAGTCGGGTTGAACCAATAGACTCGACACACTAACAGAAGGAACCTCAAACAGGGAGTTGTGATCGCAACAGGAGGTCCGGATCTCCAGAAACTCTGAGTTGCTGTGCGAGGTCTTTGTTGGAAGCTCAAGCGGGACCTCCCAAGCGACGTGGCTCGAAATGGTCTCACTGCGTTCAAAGAAGGGGTGCAGGGCTTGTCCTTTGACTCATTTTTCACCTCCAACAGACCCTCGAAATGGATCTGGATGGGATCCAAGGCCTGGTTCCCGCGTGGTGGTTGCATTTGAAGCTCCAAGAAGGCGCACCCCCTCAAAGCCGGCACTTGAAGGATTCTGACCCGGGCGCTGAAGCGCCTGTTCAAACCCCTCCAACTCCCTTCTTCTAGGCCGGTCCTTAAAGGACGGAATCACCTGAGCAGAACTCACAGCCCGACATGGAAAACACGCTACATGGCTTGGTTTTTTGGGGAAGCAGAAAAGTAAAAAAGAAAAGACACCTGCCATATAAAGTGGCTCCTGGACTTCACACGCGCACAAACACACATCCCTTCCAATGTCCAAGGTTTTGAGTCCGTTTGGTGGGTTTTAGACATCAGCTTTTGGGCCGACTTCTTTTTGGGATGTTTCGGATCGCAGCCCTGTTGCATCCCTGCGCGGCGAGTGATACAGTGTCCATGATTAACTTGTCGTGGTTCGGAGAGTACACCATGTTGTCTCCCCAAGCACTTGGTTCTTTGTGGCGCACTGCCGAACAACGGTGTTTTTTGGGCCATTTGCTGTCAGAAATTGTTTGAAACAGCCATTTACACCCAAGTCCGTACTAAGACCTTTCTTGAAACCCTTCTGTTGCTCAGTGGGTTTCACCCTTTTCCCTCTTTTGTATCAGGGTCTGTCCATGTCGAGCCTCTTCCATAAGAGCACCGGTGGAAAACGAGGCCATGGGACTGAGCCTTGAGCCTCTTACATTCAACTGGCGTGTCATGAACCTGACCTATGCACACGTCCCACAGATCCATAGCAATCCCATCTGGACACAGGGGGCCATGATGAACCAGCCAAAAAGCAGGTTTCATGTACAGTAAACCAAAAGCGAATCGGGAAATGACATGAAATCAGCCACCCTCTATTGCTCTCCTTCTGGGAAGATTAGCTCCACCAACCAAACGTGCAACTTTCGATGGTCTGTACTTAGACAACTTTATGTAACATATGTCAAGAGAGACAGGAAAATAAATTATCTCTGTGCGTTCCTCGGGCCAGAATGGGAAGCGCGGATTAATCAACCCATCCTACTAGGCGGGCGTCATCCACAAAAATGATCCGGATTCCCGCTCAGAGGACATCCCCTTTCTCAACCGGGGTTGCTGGATCCGGGGATCCCATTTGCTGCTTCGATTCGCAGGGAATCATCCAGTGGTTCCTTTCGGGGATCCCGAAACGGCTTCCCCCAACCCCTGCTGGAAAAACCCTGCCTATCGAACCAGCGTTTCTGACTCTCGCCTTGGATCGGAGGTACAGGAGCTCCTTGATCCAAGGCCCTGGTTGAATGTAGGCGTACCACTTGTCGAAGCGGATCTGGCCACGGCGCGCTCGCGATCCGAAGCGAGCCGCGAAAAATGTGAGGCCTGCGTGCTGTTGACCTCATCTTTTCTTGGTGCTGTACTAAGAGGACACCAAGAAGCGTGACCTGGTTTCAATCAAGTCTAAACAGCATCACCCGTGAAACTGGAAGTTCTGTTTTGCAAGGAGCCTGACCTGTACCTTACAACGACATGATCAATTCGACCGCTTTTGTTCAACTTAGCGTCTGGTTGATCCCTTGCTGAAGGATAAGCTTTTCGTGGGATAGGGACGTCAAAGCCCTTCTAAATTCCAAGAACATCAAGTCTGAGTGATGGCCAAGCCAAGTGAAAACAAGGAGGCTGACCCAGACATATTCCCTCACACTGCCCTTCATCAAATAGGATAATGTGCATGGCGTCCAGCAAGTCGATTCTCAAAGCACACCCTTGTCTCTATATCTCAACGTTTTTTTAACAGACCTTTACAGTGCAGGGATTTGACAACTTCACACTCCAAAAGGGGCCGAGATGTCCGCTGGCGGGCCCTAAACAAGATGTGAGCTGGTAAACCAATAGCTGGTGGCCCTCCAAAACCAGGAGATGCCTTTAAGCAGTGGCTATAAATATGGGCACCCGTCCATCATACTTGCGTCGGAGTCCCATCCCTGCGGCTACTTTGTTACTCACGGGTGTCCCAAAAGTGCCGGAAAAAGTGTGACATGCCCCGCAACAATGCCCATGGAACACTGCCTGACATCCTTTTGGCTTCCTTTGGCCACAGAAAATGGCATCCACACTTTAGGCAACCATGGCCAAGGACGCGTCAGGGTGCCAGCAAAATGGACGGATCAGCGGTGCCATGCCATGACATGTTTTCGCAAGAAGCGGAATCCTTGTCATGGTTGTGGACAACTTCCAATGAAAATCCGGGGTGCATGACCATCAATCACTGCCAACCCCAAGATGGTCAAATGAGCATGAAACACATGAAGCAAGAACATGGGTGTATTCGCCAGACGCAAACCGAACTCCTGCCCGAACGAAAGACACCTCCAACGGCCTTGCCTCGTTTTTCTTTTCATCTATCATCAGCGCGTTGGCGAACAGCAGCACGAAGGGGGAGAAGACCAAGGACGAGTCCATGATGGAATTGAACCTGGGCATTTCTCGATTCGACCAGGCCTGCCATGCCTCTTTCAAAACCCGAGGCCTGGTCACCTGAACAAATCCATGGGGAAGCTGCAAGTCCGATGGAACTCTTCGGGCTATGAAGACACCTTCCAAGACTCACTGGCCCCAAGGGAGCAAATAAAAGATGATCTTTGGGACCAGCATGCTTGTTGCCAAAAGGGGAAATCAAAAGGTCATGTCAGGTCGATTTCGCTTTGGACACCGTCACCTGGCGAAACAAAGGGCTTCTTCACCCCACGACTCTTGCATGTTGGATTTGCGTCAAAACAGTTTGTCATTGCTTCAAGGGATCAACAAAAATGGTGGGTACTCAATTTGGCGTTGCCTTAGCGCCACAAAAACAAGGCTCCCTCCATAAAAAGATACGCTCAGATCCATGCCTCCCCATCTTCATGGAGTCGCTGAAGACCATCCACTCCTCCCCGTCCTAGCAAGGCGGATAGGAAAAGAAGTTCTCTCCGAGAAGAAGTTGGACCCTCCGGTGGGGATTTTGCTAGGAACAAAAAAAGCCAAGCAACCATAATTTGGCTTGATGATCTAAATGAGTCATGGACACGGCTTCAATTCACCGACCCTTACAATGGCTCTCTAAATCTCCAGCTAGCCCTCTCAATGGTGACTTTGATCAGCTTGGCGGTTCTGGGTTCCCATGTACCCTCAAGTTCCCCCAATAAACGGCGCAAGCGTTCCGAAAAGAGCATCACGCGCACCACGCGTTCCGCTCCGTAAGCCCCATCTGGTACTCCGCGTTCACCGAGCCCCGGAAGGCCGATACCTCCTCGTTGGAGTCTAGATACCAATACCTCAGATGCAGGATTTGGTCCATCCACCATATGGTTTCTTGATGGTTCCCTATGGTCTCTTCATTCAACCATGGTTTCCCTATGGTTTCTTGATGGTTCCCTATGGTCTCTTGATGGTTTCCCTATGTCTTCTCAAACAGGGGTAAGGATCAAAGTGAAGTAAAACCAGAAAGCAAACGGGCATGTGGACCAAAAAAGCAAGCAACCTCGGGAAGCGTTCCCCCCCCCCCCACAACAATGGGACACTTCCCTTTTGAATGGGGCAAGCTTTCTATTTCAAATAGTTAGAATTGTTTGATGTGTCATGAGTTGTATTTGTTTTATCCTTAATATCATTGCTGCTACTATTCTAACTAGAATCATGATTGCTACTATGACTTTCTTTTCATCCAAAAGATCCGCCAAAGGTCTGCAAAATCCTGAGCTTTGGCATCAGGGCTACAGGTTTTGTCCAGCCGCGGGACACCTAAATGAGGTATCAATGGGACAAGCCTACTCAACCTGTAGAGTTGATTGGGTGTAGAGCGTCAGATCTGGGGTCTTTCACTCCTTAGGTTTGGCCAATATGCCCCCCTTCCGTTCATTGAATTGGCGCCTGATTGGGAGCTTCAGAGTTGGAACCGCCTCAAAAGCGGGTGGACATTGGTCCCACCATCAATTGATTTCCACCAGGGGGTCGCTAATTCAGTTGATCCCCACTTGGTTGCTTTCTGCTCCCCTGCTAAAAGTTTAACTTTTAGTGGTTTGATGGAAAACCCATTATTTGGCAAACAGTTAAAGTCCTAACATCCAAGCAAAATGCACCAAAGCCCAATGGAAAGCCAATGGAAACAAAACCAAGAGCAAGGGATCGGCCATCTTTCGGAGCTCTGCACAGACCTCGGACCCACCCGAAAGGGTCACGCAAATGCGGAGCAACATACTCTTGGCGTGCTTGCCCCCCTGAACAGTACCGCAACTTGCTCGGTGGGTTGGAAAGGGTTCCAAGGACAGCTCGAAAGACCTGATTCACCCTGGGGCTTCCTCTAAATCAACTGCGCTCATCCTCCAAGGGACCCTGTTGCATGTGGTAGGTTCATTACTTTGCCATCAAAGTCACCCCCCAAGTGTTAGGTGAAAGGGAAACAACTTCTTTTGCTGACCTTTGGCAACCAGAAACCGTCAAAAGGGCCCCTTGGCCACGCCCAACTCGGCCCCTGCCACTTCCTTCAAGTGAAGCACGGTGAGCGCTGACCCCGGTAGAGCACGCAGAGGTTGGGCATGAAGCCCGCCACCATGGCCGCCTTTAGCAGCGCGTCCTGGCGATGCCCACGTTGCCGAATTTGTCTCGTCCAAGAAGAACCACCGGCTCAAGCTTAAGAGAGCGAGCCCGATCGACTGGTTTTGCCTTTTCCACTGAAATCAACAGCCTCCCTTGACAAGGGTTTCTACACCAGGGTGGCTGCTTATTTGTCCCACAAACAGTGGAAAAGGCAAACCATCCGATCGGCTACGTCAGGCAAGTGCTGAGAAAGCCCGGTGAGATAACCCACTGAAGGGAGACTTCTAATCATGGCTGTTGTGGTTTACCAGGCGTACCAACCACTTACCAAGTACCCTGCCCCTTCAGAATGGCTCCAGGCCGCCAATCCAAACCACACACGGGCTACCTGATGTGTACTGATGGGAAAAATCAAATGTGGACATGTGTCAAATATGGATTTTAATCTTGATGTCCCTTTGAACCCACCGAAAAAAACGGGCTCCCTCAAACAAACACACCCGCATCAGTGGATGTCCACACCTCCCTTTTCAGGTTGATTTTGAAAGGAATGTGGGCAAAACATGGGTCCTGGTTGGATCCCCTAGATGCAGTCAAAATTATCAATAAAGGGTGGTTCAAATATCCTTGAGCAGCCTTGTTATCTCAAGGATTCTCTTGCTCTGAGGGGACGCATTTCCGCAGCCTGTTTCGCCACATCAGCCAGGTTTGGTGAGGCAGCTCCCGCATGCAAACTTTGGAACGCAGGGCTTTCAAGCCGCGGCGAACGCCATTTGGCGGCATCGACGGGTCCAGTGACATGTGTCAGATTCAGCAGGGTTCGATGCAAAGCTTAGCAGCAGCCGCAGGATGAATCAAGTTGCATCCCCTCAAGGCAGTGGGATTTGAACATACCATGATGCTGAAACATCTAGAATTCTCCAAGCAAGTGTCGCTCGACTAGAGCTTCAAATGTAGGGTTCGCCATTTAGCAAATTCTCCTCCTTAGTTGAACAGCAAGTTGGCCGCCATGTACTTCTTGGAAACTCTCTGACTTCCGTTCAAACAGCTCGCCCTGAATGTCCAACCTATAAACATCAACAACCCAAAGAAACTCACTTCCCATTGGCAAGAGGTAATGTCGAGAACCACCACAAGGGAAAATATTGGTTTCACCCTGCAAAAAAGAGGGGAGCCAAAGCTTTCACAGGGTTTCCAGGTTCACGCATCCAACAGGGCTATCTCAAATGTGGCGGAGCCGAAGATGGGTGTTTGTCTCCCATTGGGTGTTTCCGCTTAGCCCAGTTACCCGAGCTATAACCATGGCATCGTGGTTGTAACCTACGAAGCTGGTTGAACACCTGTTTGTCAAGGCTAACCGAAACGAAACAAACAATGGGTTGAGCTCTCCTAAGACAAAACCAACTCAAATATACCCAAACACTGAGCTCCGGTGTGTGTGTGTGTGTCCTTCAATTTGTTTCAAACCACCCACTCCCTGGAGAAAACAACACCAAAGCTCGCAAAAAAAGAAAAGAAAAAAGTGAAGTAAACTCAAACTGGAACCCAATTGTTTTGGGGGCCCCCAACTTAGACAAACCCAGAGCAAGGATTGAATCAACGCACTTAGCCACTCTGAGGTACCTGTTCTCAAACCCAGACCTTCACGCGCAAGACTTCCATCGGACAGAAAACGCGCAACTTGCACAAGACATATCTCACTTGCTCAAAGGACCTGGAAGTAAAAGGTGATCACCTTTTGGGACCTTTACAAAAAATGGACCAAATCAGGGAAACCAAAAGGTCAAAAGGTCGGCTTTGGGCAACAGAGATATGCATTTGGAGCGCAGCTTTGTGGGGGTTGTCTCATAGGCAAACTCGAAGGGAACCACCTGAGCATTCACGTCAATTCCTACAAGCGTTCTAGCAAGCCTCTCTCAACCCTTTGAACAAGTCCTTCGAATCTTCGAAGGAGCGGCAGGCGGATTTTTGCAAACGAACCACAATGGGGGTGAGCCAGGGAGCCTAGTGCCACTAATCCAGGCGCACATGGCCGTGTTCCTTGGATTGCTTCGCTACTCTCAGAAATCTGTGGTTGGCAGCGCTCGTTAAAACTGTGAGTCTTGACTTACGGCTGAGCTGCGGTGTGAACAAATCATCGGGGCAAATGTTCATTCGCCAACCCCATACAAGGAATTAGGTGACGTTGCAACCCCCCACAGTGACGTCCGATTAAAAAAAGAAGAAACAAAATGAGGAAAACAAAATATCTTTCTTTAAACAAAAAAAAACGCCGGGCGCGCCGCGTCGGAGGCTTTCTTCACAGGGTCAACTTCCCCATAGTCGCCCTCCCCGGTAACGTCCTCAGGACAAAACCAAACGGATCGAGTCAGAGAGCCAGGGGTCGGTCGGTCAATGTGAGTGTTTCGCAATTTTCTAAACAAATACCATGGATTAACAAATAAAGAAATTGTCTAAACGAAGGTCTTCTAAACACATGTTCTACAATTGTGAAAACAAATACCATGGATTGACATCAACTATATAAAGGAGAACGGGTCCCAGCCAGCCACGTTCAAAGGAACCGACCCCTCAAACCCAGGATTCTGGGCCACTTGCCAGAGTTCCCCGATATTTCCAACCTAAGGCATCACCTACCAAGGAAACTCAACGTGAATGGGCAAAAAGGGCAAAAAGGTGATGTTCAAGACCACCCAGCAAAAGTTACTCGCCCTCTGAAGAATGAAGGATCCACCTGCCTGCAAGTCCTTCCTTCACCTTCTTGAGGAGGTCAGGCTACAAAACCGGAACCAATGCCGAGCGTCGTCGCCATCGTAGCCAGCGTCGACCATGAAGGACACAAACTGCTGCACCATCCTGGCAAATGGGTGGGTCATTTGCACGCGGAAAACACGGCAAAAATGGGGGGGGGGCAGTTCCCTTTGAAACTATCGTCCAAACACCAACTTGGGTGGTTGCCCTCGTCAAAACTTCCTTGTTAGGATCAACACGGGAGTTTCCCTTTGAAATTATGGGTGACCCTGGAAATGTCCCTGCAAAACACCCAAACCAGGCACATCTAGCCATTGGCCCTGAATCCAACGGGGAGGATATCAAGCGAGATAGATAACTCATGTTCAAGGGTTCCATAGACCCCCGCCCCCCCCCCCCCCCGCCCCCCCTTCACAGGGTTTTCTCAGCCGGGGCCAACATGGAAACTCCAACCATTGTCCAACAGGCGCTACGGCAAAGAGCGGTTATGCTAGCCAAAGGCCTCACAGGCCAAAGGCCTCTTCAACCTGAAAAACTTTGCAAACCCGAGACAAGTGTCGGAACGGCCCCAAGGAACCTGAGTCCTTGCGGTTTACCCCCAAAAACCAACCTGAAAAACTAGGGTTCCAACCAAAAAGGCCAGCTGTTTAGCCCTGAAACCAACCTAAAAGATCCACAAAAGTCATGCGCCCCATGGACTTCTTGGCTCACCCAAGAGCCGCCAGTCAAACAAGCCACGGGCCACATGAAGGCCATGTCCAGAGTCTCCGGGCTGAGGCCCTGGCCACTGCACGAGTCACGTGGACTTTGGGGCCCACCGGCTTTGGGGGGGGGGGGGCACAGCACAAAATCCCCAAGAAACGTCCCAGGCAAAACGCAGAAGTCCAGCCGAAACCCTCAAGGGAAACACTTTGGCTCGAGAAACAGGCACTGCTTGGATTCCGTACAATCAAAGGAAGAACTTGCTGGCTCTTGCAATCCTGCGCAAGAGGTTCAGCAGTTGGTGGGTTTGTGGGAAAACGTAACCTCAAAAAGATGGCTAAAGATCCTACCCAGTAGCAGACAGGAAAGCGTCAGGACAAAGGTCCCATTCAAAGTAAGCCAAACGTCCCTGCCAAAAAAGTAACGTCCCTTCCAACAAAGCCAAGAAAGCTTCGAAACAAACGTCCCATTCAGAACCAAGCACACGTCCCTTCAAAGCAGCTGTTGTGGCCTCTGCGCAGTGAGTGAACTTCATGCCCCGTGTCAACATGTCAAGCCCCGAAACCAACCACGGCTCCTAACCCCCGGACTGTCTACAAAAAGAGAAACAAGGCCCACGCGAATCGAGTTGGCCTACATGCAACAGGGATTCTTCGAGAGGAACCCTGAAACAACTGGTTCCTTTTGGTTGATGTTGGAAGATCCAATTGGGCAACTTGGGGGTGCTTCTGTTCATCCCAGCCACCCCGGCCGGGGGACACTTGGATGGTGCAGAAGTTCGCTTGTCTCAGCTTTGCCCTCAGCTCACCTGCTTATGTAAATGGGTTGCTAAGCCATTAGCACTTAGCAACTCCTGCCAGATCATCTTAGAAGGTCCGTAGGAAGATACCCAAAAAGCAGAAAGGACGGTAGCTCGGCCGGAAAATGCAATGGGTTGGTCGCATTCCCCACAAACCTTTGCCTTTCGGGGGAGGAGGGAGGGGTAAATGAACCTCATGTGGAAACAACCCTTGCCTTGAGAACAAAACCACAATACTTGAATTACTTCTGCATGTCACCAGAACAAGGGGAGAGGTTTGGCTATAGCACCCCTTCCACAACCGTAATTCCACTTGCCCAAAGGGCCCAAAAAAGATGCACCTCTGGGAGCCTTGTCTTAACAGTAGACCATGGACCCAGTGGCACGGACAACACAAGAAAGGCGTGGACAAACACGTTTTGGTAGATGTTCAGGTATCCCTTAACTTCTCAATTAGTGGGCAGCTGAGATGTGTTCAAATTCCCAAAACAAGTTGACAAAAGGAAGTCACCAGGGTTGGCTCACTCTGCTCCAACGGCTGTTTTCACAAGAATCAGGGCACATGTGCAAAAACTGTTGAACAACGAAACGCGTGTGCGAACAATGTTCAAACGCTGCATGTGTAAACGCGCACACCTGACCCCGGAAAGCCCTTAAGCACTGCCGCTTCTGACCTTCTGACGCCATTTAAACATGTTAAAACAGGGCCGTTTAAAGGGTCGAGCTGAGTCCATTAAATCACTTCCGATCGAGTGGATCGGTCACAAGAAGTACGAACTGTTGAAAACATATCACTAAAATGGTGCAAACCAAAAAAAATGCAAAGCCCATGAACTCAAGGAGTCTGCTAAAGTGGCATCCTCATATTTGTTCCCCTCTAACTGGTGGCAGGAAAGGGGGTTTCCCGCCAGAAGGGGAATCATGAGAACCCCCAAGCGCCTGCTCGTCGCAGAAGTCGTCGCCCCGGCCCCGAAGAGTCTCCCGGCGCCACTCCACATAGGCCTTGGAATGAGGCCGTGGGTTGGGATCACGTGTAGACTTTGGATCCTCAGGCTTGTTGCTTTTTCTTTCCCGGAAAAGCAGAAGCTTGCTCGCGCCATGTCTTTGGGATACGTCAATCTGGGCAAGGGCTTTGATCTGCCTGTTTTATAGCGAGCTCACGACCTGGGGGTGGAACAAGCTCACCGTGGTAAAGGGGGGAGATGTTTTTTGTTTTTTTTCTTTTCCGGAGATATGTGTTTGCTATATGTAAACCTTCCGATCCCGAGGTTTTCCGCAACTTGCTTGTTCGTAAGCTGATGATTCCCGGGGCCGAATCCCCACAGAGAGCGGGGTACCGCTGCGTCGGATTTAGATCATGCTCCCGGTCGCACCGGAGCTGAGGGTTGAAAAAAAGGGCTAGAAGGCCCCTTAAAATGGTGGCTGTCATTAAACCAACCTGAAAAACGTCCCCGGGCTCCCAGTGTGCCTCCAGGGCGGCAACAAACATGCGTCCATCAAAAGTACGCTCAGTACCCGTCCAATGGCCCTAATGTGGATGGACGAATCCATTTCGCACCACTTTGAAACCAGGGAAAACCATTGTTTGTTGGCATTTATAGGGGAATCAAATCACTCCAGGTTTCTTGGATGGTGCGAAATGGATTTCGCAACCATCCACAGTATCACCAGGCAACCTAAAGAACCAACTACAGGGGTAAGGTGACCCGAATCAAAATGGCCGCGACTTGTGGCATCAGCCAGGGGTCTGCTGGAACCCCCGGATCACTGGGACCGGAGGGGCCCCTTGCCACCCTGTTCTGCCATTCCTTGTAACTGCTTTGGGAATCTGAAGTGGCCAACCATTCCTGGTCTGGGTGCGGTTCAAAATTGGGGGACCCCAAATGGTTGGTGTCCTCTTGCTTCAACCGAAAGGACTCAAACAAGCAAGCAACTACCAACACTTAACCAACAAATCAAACATAACCAGTTCTATACTCCCTCATCAGAAACAATGCCGCCGAACGAACCGCCCTACAACAAAACTAGACCACGGTTGGCCCGAAAGCAGAACATCGCAAGCGAGGTCGGCCCAACGCTGCAGGATGCGTTCTTTTTCCCTACACGAAGCATTCGTGAAGCAAGCGCGAGACAGCACCAGGCAAGGTGCTCTGCGCAAACTGGTCGGTGCAAGTTGGTCTGCGCAAGTTGCTCTACGCAAGTTGCACTGTGCAAGTTGCTCTGCGCAAGTTGCTCCGCGCAAGTTGCTCCGGCAAGTTGGTCCCTGCAAGTGGCTCCCTGCAAGTTGCTCTGTGCAAATTGCGCTCCCTGCAAGTTGCTCTGTGCAAGCTGCTCTGTGCAAGTTGCTCTGTGCAAGTTGCTCTGCGTAAGTTGCTCTGCGCAAGTTGCTCTAGGCAAGGCGCTCTGCGCAAACTGGTCGGTGCAAGTTGGTCTGCGCAAGTTGCTCTGTGCAACTTGCTCTGCGCAAGTTGCTCTGCGCAAGTTGCTTTAAAATGCAAGTTGCATCTTGCGACGCCCGCCCGCGGACCAGGGAGGAATCGAACCCGCGACCCGCCGGTTCCGGGAGCAGGCGCGCGAACCACGAGACAACTCCCGAGGACCAGTTCGAACAACAAAAGTCGCAAAAACCTCGAGTTTTTGCACCTCCACCACGCCGATTCCCGCAGAGGGTTGCGCACCTCGACCACGCCGATCCCCGCAGAGGGTTGCGCGGGCACCGCAGAAATCGCAAAAAACCTCGAGTTTTTGCACCTCGACCACGCCGATCCCCGCAGAGGGTCGCGCGGGCACCGCAGAAATCGCAAAAAAAACCATGGGTTTTTGCACCTCGACCACGCCGATCCCCGCAGAGGGTCGCGCGAGCACCGTTAGAAATCGCAAAAAACCATGGGTTTTTGCACCTCGACCACGCCGATCCCCGCAGAGGGTCGCGCGGGCATGTTGGAAATCGCAAAAAAAACATGGTTTTTGCAGACCACGCCGATCCCCGCAGGGGGTCGCGCGGGCATGTTGGAAATCGCAAAAAACCATTGGTTTTTGCACCTCGACCACGCCGATCCCCGCAGAGGGTCGATTTTCGTGTAGTGTCGTCGGCACTACCCCGCCGCCCTAAGAAGAGATTTTAACTCCTCGCAAGTCAATTGCACTTGACTCCTTGCACTTGCAACTTGCACTTGACTCCTTGCTTGTTTCAAGGGAAGAGTCATGCATCATTGCAAGGAGTCATGCAAGGCAAGAGCAAGTTGCAAGTTGTCAAGGGAGCCAAGTGCAAGGAGCCAAGTGCATGGGTCAAGTGCAAGAAGGAGCCAAGTGCATGAGTCAAGTGCAAGTTGCAAGAGTGCATTGCAAGTGCAAGGAGTCAAGTGCAAGTTGCAATCCTTGCCATGACTCCTTGCAATGACTCCTTGCAATGACTCCTTGCAATGACTCCTTGCAATGACTCCTTGCAATGACTCCTTGCAATGACTCCTTGCATGACTCCTGCAATGACTCCTTGCAATGACTCCTTGCAATGACTCCTTGCAATGACTCCTTGCAATGACTCCTTGCAATGACTCCTTGCATGACTCCTTGCCACTCCTTGACTCCTTGCCATGACTCCTTGCAATGACTCCTTGCAATGACTCCTTGCAATGACTCCTTGCAATGACTCCTTGCAATGACTCCTTGCAATGACTCCTTGCAATGACTCCTTGCAATGACTCCTTGCAATGACTCCTTGCAATGACTCCTTGCAATGACTCCTTGCAATGACTCCTTGCAATGACTTGTTGCAATGACTCCTTGCAATGACTCCTTGCAATGACTTTCATGATGATGATGCCTTGCAATGACACCTTGTAATGACTCTCATGAGAACAACTCAAGTGAACCCAGCGGAAGAACCCTTCGCCATGCTTTCGGGAAAAAACAACAACATGAATCCGAGGCGCCTGGATATTGGTGAGGTGATCCGAGCAAAAGCCCTTGTTGAAGTAGTCCTTTCCAGTGACCTCAATCGTTGCATCGAGGCGTTTCGCTTCATATAAGCAGCGCCCGTTTGACCCATTGGCGTTTGGTTCTACCAAGTTCTACCAACATAGTTTTACTTTATGTGGGATTGGCGTAATCCTCACGAAACCAGGTACTTACTAAGCTAGCCAGTGGGGGGGGGGAGGCAGGTGCTTCTGACATGAAGTTGGCGCAGCAAACACAAGCGGGCCATGGTCAAGACTCCCTTAATAATGCGTCCAATCAGGGTTGTTGCATGTGGTGTCGTTTTTTTGTCGCGTGAACTGGTGACAAGGCATTCACATACTTGGGAGGCAGCTGGGTACGTGAGTTGCAGGTGTGTTTGCTTTGTTTCATCTAAGTTGGTCATGTTTGCTTTGATTCACAGGGGCCGTGGTCAAACCACCCGGTGCGCCCTTGGTCATGGCGTCCTCACCAGGAATCCTGATGATGCTGGTCTAAATTCTTTATGCAGAGGTCCAATGACAATCCCAAGTCGCCTCAAGTGAAAGGGCTTGACCATGGCACACACACATACAGTTGGTGAAACAAAGAAACACCCGACAGATTGGGAAAACGAAGCAAGGTCTGTCGTCCGCTCTGCTGGAGTGACTCGCCAGAAAGAAGCAAATCTCTGGGTGCCGGTGTCCATGATGTAGGAACCACTGTGCTTCTTGCTTTCCAATTCAACAAGAAGACAAATAGTTGCCATGACCCTCTTGCCACCGGAAACCGAGACAAGGCTCAAACGTAGATGCCTCTGGGGCAAAGTCGGAACCCGCGCCTCCGAAAGACATCGTTTGCTTTCATTTTGGTTTTGACTGAGTAGGTGAATGTTCCCCCAAGAGGACATCAGAAATGTAGGGTTCCTTCCCTGGCTTTTCGTGGCGAATCTTTCGAGCTCATGTCACTCCCAAACCCAAGACAAATCAAGACATTTTGACCAAGCCTCACAGGGTAGTTTCTCCAAAAAAAGGTGAGCACCTGTTTTAGCATGTAAAGGGGCGGCAAAAGGAAACCCTTGCTTTTTGGGGCCCCGATTTGCTATTTGAGAAACACCCATGTAGACGACCAACAAACCTGGACCCCCGAATGGCCTTGTTCTTGTCCGAGCTCTCGTTCACCGACTGTTGGAAGGGGCTCTTGATGCTGAGAAACGCCGCGACGCAGGCTGCAGGCCTCAGAAAAAGAGGCAAAAAAGTGCCTTGCCAAGTGACTAAAGGTAACCTTGGGGCACTAACCATGTAGGCGATTTCCGAAAAAGAGAAGCAACCTGCTCCCCAGCCCCCCCCTGTTCCAGGTTGAAGAATCTCATGTTGCAGATACTTTGAGGGACGTTTTCTTTTGCTATCGGCTGGTGGCTGGTCTCTTCAAGTGAATCGTTTGAGGCTTTACTAGGACTTCAGTAGAGAGGTTAGAATAAGGGTACCGGGAACCCCCCCCCCCCAAACAAGGGTCAAAGGGCACTGGGGGACCTAGTTTAAGGTCGCCGAAAGCTGCACTTCATCCCCGAGAGGCTCCCTCGGCTCCCTCAGGCGCCGGCTTGATGCATCTGAAGGCCGCGGCGATCAGCAGAAACTTGGCCACCTCACAGCCGCGCGCGCCGCTGGTGAGTTCTTAAAATGACCGTGTCGTCCTTTTCTTGAGGCTCGGTAAACCCGCCTTTTTGCAGTTCTAAAAGGGAAAACCACAAGGAAATCCGAAATCCGTTCTGGAGGGCTCCAATTCCAAAAAAATGTGACATGCTCAAATGGTGACTAGATAGCCAAGTTGCTGTTTGCTTCCAGACACTTTGCCCCTAAGACAGTCACACCTGATTGACAAGCCAGCAACTGGCGATCTAGGTGGTTCTAGTTACATAGGATACCAAAGGGGTCAAGCAAAATAGAATCCCTTTTTTGAACACCCTAGAGGCGTGGTTCTTAAAGTGGTTGACTCCCTTTCCGTTGGCAGTTGAAGAGAAACCAAAAGAAAACTCTTTCCATTTTGGGACCGTTCCTACTTTGAGAAATACCCAAAGGGATCTGTTTGTTGAAACCCACTTGGACGTTTTATAGCGATGACTCCAGCCCCACCTGCTAAAATGACAAATGGGGGCTTTGGGCAATTTTGGGCGCGGCTCACATGAACCCTTGTTGTTGACACCCACTGTTGCTTGGTTGTTGTAGAAAACCGAAAGTGAAGCAATCATGTTTGGGATTATATATAAATCACCAAATCACCTAAGTCACGATCCTCGAAATCAGCCATTAAATGGGGATTGGCAACCAGAAATGAAATTGTTGAGCACCCCGAAAACAAGTTGGTACCCACTACTTTTTGGTTTGATAGTGCACACACACCTATAACAAGAAATTAAGGAAAAAAAACATAAAACAATAATAAAACAAATCCACGGGTGAATTCGATCGCAACCCGTTTGCGTTGCTCACATTACACCCTCCCACGAACGTGGAAAATCATCTTCGGGAAGGGGTATGTTGGACCCAAGCCATGTTTCGTCCAAAAAGGTAGTCTTACACGGATATCCCTGGGGCAAAGCGTCAAAGCTGTATTTGACTCTGGATGAATCAACTCCCCACCAATCATCTAGGTAATTCTCGGCTTGATGGCTTGCTGGCTAAGATTTCGCCGCCCCCAAGTTTGGATGAATTCTGCTCCAAGCATCTCCAAGCAAGGAAGTGTAAGTTATTTCTCATTTAATAGCCATTAGGATTTACTGGCGGTACGCCAGCGTTTGCCCCCCCAAGAAATACAAAAGATTCCGGCTCATGCTTAGTGCACCTTGAAATGTCTTTCACAAATAAGCAGTATTGGTCCTCCAATCACAAGCCTTCAACACCAAACCACAATTTGGGGGGTTCCAGATTTTTGCGACGGGATTCTACGTAGAACCCACGAAAACAGGGGGCTTCCAATGCTGAACTCTTTTCCGGTTCATCAGGTTCCGTCTTCCGAGGCGCATTGGGCTGCACGGGGATCGCCGCCACAGCCTTGCCTCAGATGCCAAGCTGCTGCAAAGGCAGCACCAAAACCCCCAGAAGGGCGCCAAAAACGCCAACAGTTCAAACCCCCAAACCAATCCAACGCTCACCCAACTAAGGCTATTCCATTTGAGCCTCGCAGTTGGTTCGACCAATGCTAACAATTCTTTGCTTTAAATCAAGGGTGTTCCCCAAAGTGCTGGTGTCCCGAACCTTATAGGGAGAAAAACAAAGGCCGCAACCCCCCACCCCCCACCCAACCCCTGGGAAACGTTCCCTCAGGAGAAAGCTCGTAGCGCCGATATGCGTGTCCGGTGCCAAGAGAAGCACATACCGAACATCCATGTCCATGTTCCCCCGTACCCGACTGCCGAAGTCCATTCGAGCATGCGTTCGACTGGCAAACCCTAGGCGGTTCCCCAAAGTTGGAAGCCGGACTTTGATTTCCCCTTCCTTTGCCAGTGAACGGAACATGGGCTGCCGTATCGGTCGGCCACTCTCCTCCCCGAGCTTCACGTAGGGAGGAGAACATGATAACATCAAGTCGCCACCTCCGGCAGCCAGAGGAAGGCCGCCCAATGCGTGTGCTGACTTTCAAGGGAGGAGATGTTGATGTCCCTTTCATTTCAACCAACCCGAAAAGGTGTGCCAACTCCCAAAAACAGGGATATGGCCTTTATTTCAACAAGCAACGACGTGGTTGTCCCGTCGGCTTCCGTTTGAAGCTACAACCCAACAAGGGGTAATTGGATCCTTTCCACACGAAGGGGCAGCAGCTTGAGGTGCCGCTGACTCATTGGTACTGAGATGCCCAGGACCGTGAGCTCGCCCGCGCGGGTGAGGCAGTTCATGTCCTCGCTGCTTTTTTGTTCCGGGGAATTTGGGGAGTTGGGGTGGAATTGTTGGGCTTGGGGCTGGGTGGGGTTGCGGTGGAGAGTTGCGGTGTTGGAGAGGGTGGAATCCAGGAAGAGGCCCAGCAACAACCATGAGGCGAAATGCAGGTGACAAGAATCAGGTTTGCGCTTGGAGAAAGCAGGTTGCACCCTTTTGAATCAAGGAGCCTTTGGGAGATTCAAGCGACACATCTTCCCACGCCTGGAGAGTTGCGGTGTTGGAGAGGGTGGAATCCAGGAAGAGGCCCAGCAACAACCATGAGGCGAAATGCAGGTGACAAGAATCAGGTTTGCGCTTGGAGAAAGCAGGTTGCACCCTTTTGAATCAAGGAGCCTTTGGGAGATTCAAGCGACACATCTTCCCACGCCCCACAACTCAAAAGTAGGCTCCCAAAATGCAAAGTCAGTTGCTATATGGGCCGGAATAATTTCGAACGGGGTTGCACTATGACGCCTAACTACGCCATGATGATAGGAACATGCGAGTATATGGTGTTCCTTTGATGGTTCCCCTTGAAACCAACGGTTATGTCATCATAGGACGGTCATGTGAGTGCTATCGTTTCCTGCAAATGATGTTTCCCTTCCAACCTAAGTCAGAAAAAGCTATAGACCAACTCAAATTCGTCAAAGAAAACAGCTGAACCCCAACCAACCCCAACCAACCCAACCGACCCCAACCGACCCCAACCGACCATGTCCCTCCACCCCCTCCACTCTGTTGCCTTGAGAAGCTGCACCGCCGCGTCCACGGCCTGGCCCGGCCGTCCGCAAATTGCCCGGCGCTGGAATTTGTTTCTTTGCGGGGAAGCCAAGGGGGAATTTTCCGCGGGAAACCCCAGGGAAACCAACTGAGCGGCCCTGAACGGGGGATTGCGCAAACGGGGGCGTTCCCAGCTTCGGGCAGTTGTGTTTGTTTTGGCTTGCGCACACCTCGAAACATCCGGTTTATCGGGCTCCTTTGGGCAATTTTGCTTCTGCCTGAAACTGCCTGAAAATCCAAACCCGCTACGGCGGGTGGTGCGATGGGAACCCCGCGAGTGTTACTCTCTTATCGCGTGGATTGGCCCAAAAAAGCTCTCAAACCTCTTACGTGCTACTGAGAATGGTGCAAACCCAACAAGCTTAAAGTCCAGGATCTCGGGGAGTTGGATGCAAGGGAAACCGGGGATAACCATTGTGCGGATCCTGTCTAGGTCACCCACACAAACCATTGCCACCCTTGAAAGACCGGCTCCAAGGGCAATTTGGATCCACTGAGCATGGGGGCGTCTTTCTTGGAGGCTGCCCTTTTCAGTGTTCAAAAGGAAACCAGAGACCAGACTATGGCAGTTTCTCCAAACTGTGGACCCGCTTTTGGCTGAGTGCAAGATAAAACAACCCCCTGCTTTGCCGTTTTAGGGGCCCTATTTTCAGAGTTCAGGTGTCGGGCCATTTTCCGACTTTGAGAAATGAAGCAAAGCTGACGAGCGAGAGGCCCAGGTGGCTCCAGGACCTGGATCGATCAGCGTGTTAACTGGAAACCGTTGACCAATCGACCAAAGCAAGCAAAGGGAAACTGAAGGTGTCGTGTCTTTTCGCAAGACCCTCAAAGTTGTATGTGTCCTTTTGGTGTCCCTTTAAAAAAACCACAACAAAAAAGGCACCCCCCAAGAAAGGGACATCTCCGAAGCAGACAGACTTAAGCATCCAGGAGCAACCGAGGGACACTTGCCATCCAGGGAGCATAAGACTGAGGGGTTTTCACTTTTCAGATCCAGTTGGAAACTCACGAGAAAACTAGGCCAACCTGTCAAAACCACAGCCATTTGTTTTCTTTCCTCCCCAGCTGCTTCGCAGCCCCCCCCCCCCCGTTCTCGGCCACTGCCTTGGGCTGGGGCGCTGCCATGGAGTTGGTCAACATCGAAGAGATCTCCGAGTTGGAGCCTCCGTGGATCACCTGATACCAGCAACCCCTCACGAGGAACACGTCAGGAGAACCAGGTGCAAGTGTTTTTTGTTGGGACCCGGCAAAAAGCAAGGTCGCCTTTTAAAGGGAAGACCAACAAACGGAAACCCCTTTAGACAATGCCGAAATGGTGGACATCGAGATTCAGTGGGGAGGTGGTTTCCTGTTCATTGGGGGTGATAGTATGAGGAAGCCACCAAAAAAAAGGACTCCTTTTGGCAGGTACATCTTGGGCGAAATCCATGCAACCATCTTCAGATTCTGAGCCATGTTTGGTCTACCTAAGATGAACAGCATATTTTTGGAGGAGCCAAACCCCCCCAACAAATCTGTAATAGCGGTACCAGCGGCCCCATTTCTCTCACAAGGAAATGTATCCGTTCAAATGCAACTTTCACATTCGACGTTCATACAATTAATCGAGAGACTCCTTGCTTTGGGTGGGTAGCATCTCGACAAGGGAACTGCTGAAAGTGCCACCCCGAATAAGGGCTGTCAGGATTTTCGTATTGGTTTAGTAAACCGGGCCCGGCCAGTGTTTGGACTTTGCCAGGGGAAAAACTCATGAATAGGGGTGGATTTAACAAGAGGGGGAGCGGATTCTGGGTATGACTTCAGCACCCTTAAGTGGAGATCGATTCAGGTTCACCATTCATTTTTCAGGTGGTTCCACATTGCCATTCATGGGTGCGTCTTCTTTGTCCTTCAAAGGAGACCAAAGGAACGCCCCATATTTTTCTAGGGGGGGGTCCCTCAAAAAGAGAGAATCCCTCATAGCCCATTTTCGAGCAAGCCATGCAGTTTTTGCTTCTTTTTTTTTGGGGGGGTTTCCCGCAAGAAGAGGCAACCCCTCATAGCCGGTACTTCCTTTTTTTTTTGGGGGGGGGGCCCTCCAGAGACAAACCCCTCGCCACATAAGAACAGCCTCCCTCCGAGCCCTTCGGGGGCCTTGGACTGCAGCACGACCTCCTCCATGGAGGAGGACAGCATCTGGGGGATGGGGAACTGCTCGAAGTCTTTGAACTTGAAGCCTAACATCCCCCCTGCCTTAAAGGGGGAGGGAGGGAGGTCCCACAATTCCACTTATTCAATCTTCCCCACAAAAGGGAAGCTGGAACCCTACATTGGTACATGGAATTCCAGGGGTCACCCCCTCCCCCAATTCCATTTTGAAGGGGGTGGGGATAGCCTAACGAAAACATTCCGAACACCAGCAACTCGTAGTGGATAGCCGGACTTGTTGTGGTCTCCACAGCACGGCGTGAGCAGTACCGGTAGCTGAACTTGTAGTGGATATATCAGCTTACCTCCAGTTTGGTGGTTTGAATTTGGTTGAGCACAGGTGTCCCATTCACCATATACAAGAGCAGGGTTTGTCAATTCCCCGAACCACCAACTACAGTAAGGGCTACCCGAACAAACGAATATGCCGTTTCCGATGGTACAACAATTTTCGCGAAGTCAGCGGGAAACCACCACCTCCACCTCCACCAGCACCTTTGTATTGTGGCTAGTGATGGAGAAAAATCCGTGAACGGCGAACAAAACTTGTAGTTGGATATATGGGCGTCAATTGTTGAGGGTAGCCCTTTTTCTTAGGGTAGTGGCTTGGAGGGAAAACCATCCTCGAATGTCACAAAACAAAGGACTGCTCTAGATGATCGAATACGGTGGGCAAAGAAAACTACCCTTGAATGCGCCTCCCCAAAAAGAAGGCAAACATCGGGCGAGTCCAAAAACAAGTGAGGAGTCCCTTTCTCGAATGATCCTAAAACGGCCAAAAAGTCATTACGCACATTTCCTCTGACCACTTCGCTTGGTTCCCAATCTCATTCTTCTTGTTCAGGCCTAATCATTTAACCCCCCTCCCTCTTATATAGGCACGATGGGCAAAGTGGGACAAATTAAGGGGTATGCAAGTGGGACAAATTAAGGTCCATTCACAAGGGCCAATTAGATTTTGCCTAGACCAACAAAAGCAAAGCAACAAAGAAACAAGTGGTCCTTTTACATCAAGCCTCGAGTTCCCTGCTCGCCTCCAAAAGTCAAGGTAAAGCTGGGAGCTCGGTCCCCGGCAATTATAGAAGCGCTTCTTCAAGTCCAAAGTCCCCTTTCATATCAGGGGGGCCGGATTAAAGGCTCCCCCAGACCCCCAAAACCACAGAAAACGAGGCAGTTGCTTCTTTGTCGGATGATGGTTTAAAGGGAAGCCCTGCCAAAAAAAGACAGTTGACCAAAGCAAGCAACCCGCGCGTGGGGTTCTGAGCTGTCAACTTGCGGGGCTTGATGAGGTTGATTTGAGAAACACCCATGGCCCAATGGTTTTCTGGGGTAACTTGATGATCCCAACTGCTGGGAAAAAATCCTGCGGATGAACCCATTGGTCAAACTGGGGTTCACCTACCAACTGGTGCCGTCAGGTTTGGAATGACTTGCTGGATCTCAGGAGGGAATGATTTAACACCATCCCTGCTCGTTGTTAGTTTGATTACCTGGAAGTCTCAGCGATCTGAGCGGCTTGGGAAGAGGCGAATGACCCTGCTGTTGGACCAAAATCCACTGGATGAAACTAAAGCCATTGGCCAACAAAGCACTTGGGGTGGGTTCGCCTCAAAACCAACAAGTGGCCATGGGTCAAAAACCAAATCGTACCCCCAGTCAGCATCCCAATCCCCACTAAAAATAAGTCCTAAAACGGGTGGTGAATTCACCAATCCCAACCAAAATGGGATCCCATTGGTTTTGACAACCACAGCCGTTTGGCTGTGGCTCAAAAAACCGGAATTCCAAAATGGAACCCGATCGGCAAGTGGCATGGACCAAAAAACCTGCGGCGTTTGCCCCTGCTTTATTTTTTGTTTGCGCCACGTTTGCTTTGCTGTCCTCCCCGTGATCCCCAAAACGGCTTCGACCTCCAGCAAACGCCGCCGGGTGCCGCCGGGTGCCGCCGATCCGAGCGATCCAAGTCCGAGGGGCTGGGGAAGAGGTGCACCACCAGGCCTTCCTGGCATCTGCCCGCGCGGCCCCGGCGCTGGATGGCATTCGCCTGCCCGGATTCCCGGATTCCCGGACAGAGGTCGAGGAGAACTCGGGGGCGAAATCCGAAATCTGGTCCCCTGCTACAAGTTTTTAAGCTTTAGTGGTTTTTCAGACGGAAAACCCGTCTAGTTGGGGGTCAAAAAGCGAAAGTCCGGAAGACGTCCCTCGGCAAAATGCAGCACAGAGAAGCTCCCCGCTGAGCTGTCCGCTTTCTCTGCGACGAGCAACTCACTTGTGGGTGAAAAAAACGGACACCCAAGCACTAAAATTCATCCAACAACAAAAGGCCGAGGAACCGGAAGGGCCGGGCAACCAGCGAAAGCTTCCTCTTGAGGTGTGAAGTTGAAAGAGACGTTGAGGGAGGACCCGCTTTTTTTTCCCCATGGTCCTGCTTCTTCCCATGGGTTGGGACAGAAACCCTACACCAGCGGAGCAGAACCCACGAAAAGACTTCAAGCTCCCCAAAAACTGCAAAAACAGATGGATGATCGGAGTTTAGACAAACTGCCACACAAGAAAACAACTTCCGAGTAACTCCCCAGCCGCCGCAGATCGAGCCTTCGTGACCATCTTCGCATCCAGGGCTGAGACGCCCGTACCTCTCTTTTGGGCGATCGCGCAAGTTCCACCCATGGCCTCTGCGAAAATGCGGTTAGGCTCTACTATCAGCCCAATTAAAACAGCTAGAACCGACCCTAGGAAGTGCACGTGGGTTTCCCCATTTCACCCACAGAAGGACAACGCTTTAAAGGGTAAAGCAGCGTTTTTCCACCCAACCACCCGGTTTCACAAGGTCTTGGAAGGTTTGGGAGGTGACTAACCTACCAACATGGCCAGACAAAACATGGGATTTTGGGGCGGTGCTCAGTTGCCTCGGCCATGGCTTCTGGCGTCCATACTCCCCAGATTCACATTGAAACCCAGGTCCTCCAGATTTGAGAGGTTAGAATAAGGGTGCCGTTTCTTTTTTCTGTCTATTTTAGCAGGGGAACCCTCCCAACCAAAAAAGAAACGGTAAAAGGGCACCTATCTGAGAGACCTAGCAACCGTCAATTTTAGGATCTGAAGCTCTTTTGGGGGCCGCAACCGGTTTTGGGGCTCCATTTCGGCGTCTGCTTTTCAGGGTGGCGTTGTTTTCAAAGGAAAACCAAAAGGGAACACCAAACCACATGGAATTCCCCCATGACTTGGCAACCAAAAGGAAACACCAACACCAAAAGGAAACCCATTTTGGGGCGGTCCCCTAAAAAAGAGGACACACCCATGCCAAGTTGCAAGGGAGTCATTTTCCTGATCTGCCATGGTTGCCAGGTCCCCAAACCACATGGAATTTCCCACAGCTGGGCCTGGTTCCCTCAAGGATATCGCAAAACCCCAATCTTCCACAAAAACAAAAAGGAGGGCCCAAAAATGGAACAGGAACCCCAAACATGCTACTCCAAGAACGCAACCGAAGGCCCAAACAAAGAAACAGACAGACAGACAGGCAGACAGACAGACAGACAAACAAACAAACAAACAAACACACACACACAATATATATATATATATATAAAATATTAAAAAATAAAACGAAACAACATCAACCAAACAAGCATACAACCAAGCAAACAAAAACATGCAAGCAAACAAAACAACACAAACACACACACACTCACAACTAACTAACCAAGTAACTAACTAACTAACTAACTAACTAACTAACTAACTAACTAGCTGACTGACTGACTGACTGACTGACTGACTGACTGACTTTACTGACTGACTTTACTGACTGACTGACTGACTAAATAAGTACCAAACAGACAAGCAACCAAGCAGGCACAACCAACGACAAACAAACAAACAACAAAAAAACAAGCAAACACAACAAGCAGGCAAACAAACGACAAACAAACAAACAAACAAACAAACAAACAAAGAAACAAACAAACAAACAAATACAGACATACAAACAAACCAGAAAGCCTACAAACCTGCAAACCAGCAAGACAACAAACACACATACAAACAAACAAATAGATCCCACACACCTAGCAACTCCTCTTTTCTTCCGTTCTGTATTTCCTTCTCTGTTTTACTATATCCTGAAGCACCCTTCGTTACCTAAATTTCTGCCCTTAGCCCAAACGTATAGCAAAACCAAGGGGCATCACCAAAATATGGTAAACGTACACTTCTTCCTGCTTCAAGCGTTTTTCCCAAAACCGGGCTGCTCGATCCTCCAAGATGATTATTCGTTTTTTTTTTTGGAAAGGAGCGAGAGCAAAAATCAAAGTGCAAAACGAGCGCAAATATACTTAAAACGAGCGCAAATATCCGCAAACGAGTGCAAATTTAGAAACGTAACAAAGCCCGCCTTCCTCTGGATGGAAGAAGGAGATTTGGTCGAGCGTTTTTTGGGGCGCGAGCGTTTTTTGGGGGTCGAGCAGAAATTGGTAACTCGAGCGTTTTTGTTCTTTTCTCGTACCTAAAAAAAGGGCACGTTGGGTGCCTCAGGATATGCTTGTTCAATCTAACTATATTTATTTAGTCAGTTGATATGTTGTTCTTTATTATTTCGTTCTTTGTGTTTATTTCTGCCTGTCTTTCTTTCTTGGTTGTGGGTATGTTCTTTATGTTCTTTCTTATTCCGCTTCTTGATTATTTATTTCTTGGCCTTAATATCTTTATATGTACGCCGTCACTCTTATCTCTATTTATTTACTTGCTTAGCTCTTTCTGTATTTCTTTCTTTCTTTCCTTCTGTATTTACTTATTTATTTGTTTACTTGGTTCTTTCTTTCTTGCTTTCTTTCCTTCTTCTTTTGTTACTTTCCTTTCTTTCGTTCATGCTTTTGGTCTTTCCGTCTTCCGCGCCTGCGTCGTAGCTCCTCTCCTTGCGCACCCCGGTGTCGATCACGTAGACCACGTCGTCGATGGTCACCGAGGCCTCCGCGATGTTCGTGGACAGCACCACCTGCTCGCTGGGTAGATGGGCGGATGGCTTCGCGGAGAAAAAAACCGCGGGTCCCAGCCCAAGGTTTGTTTAGGGAGGGGGCTGAGGAGCTCGGTTGCTATCTGCTCCCCTGCAGAAGAAGTTTAAATCCAAGCAAAATGCACCAAAGAGTGGGTTGGTGGGGTTTGGGGGTTTGGGGGTTTGGGGGTTTGGGGGTTTGGGGGTTTGGGGGTTTGGGGGTTTGGGGGTTTGGGGGGGGGTTTGGGGGTTTGGGGGTTTGGGGGTTTGGGGGTTTGGGGTTTGGGGGTTTGGGGGTTTGGGGTTTGGGGGGGGGGGGGGGTTTGGGGGTTTGGGGGGGGGGTTGGGGGTTTGGGGGTTTGGGGGTTTGGGGGTTTGGGGGTTGGGGGTTTGGGGTTTGGGGGTTTGGGGGTTTGGGGGTTGGGGGTTTGGGGTTTGGGGGTTTGGGGTTTGGGGGTTTGGGGGTTGGGGGTTGGGGGTTTGGAGGTTTGGGGGTTTGGGGATTTAGGGGGGTTGGGGGTTTGGGGTTTGGTGTTTGGGGGTTTGGTTTGGGGGGGGAGTGTGGTCTTGGAAGCCGTTTGGTCTTGCTTCAAATCCAAGAAGGGTACCAACTCAAAAGAAGATACACCCGGATCTGTTCTGCCGACTTACCTTATTTTGACTGCATTGCAGGTAACCCCTTAGTTGGTAGTTCGGATTTGTGGCTTAGGAACTTCACCTGGGAAACTACCCCTTGCCCACCAAACCACTCCGAACCACCAATTTGAGGTACAGTATACGAAGTCCCTGCAATTCACTTACCATTAAAACAGTGGGATACAGTGGGGGGGGAAATTGATTTCAAGATGTTCATCCTCCAAAAGCTTCATCCTCCGAAAAACAATGTGGTTTTCTTGTTTGCCATCCTTTTGGGTCCCAACCACCTCCAAGACGACGGCATCCGCCCAATCCGCCAATCCGATCCAATCCGATCCCGGCCTTGCGGAAGCCTTCCGGCGGGCGCTCGAAGGCCTCGTGCTGCTGCTCCGGGGTCATCAGGGAGTGCAGGGTGATGAGCTTGTAGTTCTCCCCTGGCCACCGGAAAAAAAATGGACAAATCCCACACAGCCCCACGGAAAAAGAAAACAACCACTTGTAGTTCTCCGCTGGCCACCGAGAAAACCCCGCCATGTCCAGTGGAACGCTCCACAAAGCCCCACACCTCCCATAAAAAACAACAACATTTCCTCTGGAAAAAATGGAAGATTTTTTAGAGGACGCCCACCAGGGTTCCTTCCCCCCACAAAGCCCCCAACGACTTCCCATGACTACTGGACATATGTTCTCATATATTTTTTGGCAGGGGGGGGGGGCAAAAAGCAATAACCTGCGAACCCACCGGAAAAAAAGAAAGAAAAACATTCCTAGTGGAAAGCCCCACAAAGCCCCACACATCCCACGGAGAAAAACAAAGAACAAAAAAGGAAAAACAAGGAAAAACAAACATTTCCGGAGAAAATTAGAAGACTTTCCCTTCTATGACTGCTGGACATATTCTCTCGTTTTTTTCAGGGGGCAAGAGGCAACAACCCACGTTTTCCCTCACAAAATAGAAGAAGTTCGAGGAAGCCCCACAAAGTCCCACCAGAAACCCCAAAACGTGCGACAGGAAGAGTCAGATTTGTGAGCTCGCCCCTAGAAAAATCGCCCATTCAGCTAAACGAGGGGGTAGGGAAATGTCGCAGCTCCCAGGGGAGCAGCAACCCCGCATGGGCATTTTTCTTGGACAGCAACCCCTAAAATCGCTTTGCTCTTGGAGAGCCCGTCAAGCAAAAGGGGGTCGCTTGTGTTGCAAAAAACACATACCCAAAAGTAAGTTGTAGATTTTGGGAGCTTCACTACACCGAAGGTTGGTGATGAGCCAAGCCATTTACCAACAGCTAAAAGGCCTCTGTCGGTGTCCGATTGAACCTCTCCGGGATGTTGCGAGCCTGACTTGTACAAGCGCATGTAGGTCTTGGCAATGTCGCCCCATCCTGGCACAAAGGACGAAGGATCAACTCAAACCAGTCGCGCCATGGAATTGGAACCCTTTGTGAGGGAGACACCGCTTCTCAAGCGGGTCCCGCATCAACCTACATTCAGAAAGTATAGAGGGTAGAATCATGTAGAATCCACTAAGCTTTCCCCAAAAGAACAACCCTGGGAAACCAAAGCAACCTCAAACTGTCTGATCATGTCTGATCCAATCGGCTTCTTTTTAGGTCCGTTGGCTGCCACTCCTCGCCTTTCCGCTCGCGGGCGTCCCGAGCCCCGATCACCAACCGGCGCCTGGCAGGAAGATGAGGATGGCGCCGTCGCCCTTAGGCTCAGACTTGTGGAAGTAGTAGACCAGCTCCTCGCAGCCGAAGAAGAAAGGAAGAAAAAGAAGAAAAAATAAAAGAGACACTCGATCGAGCCCAGCCCTGTAGGCTCAAGGGGCGGGAGGCCACCCCCACTTTCTGACTTTGGTGGCTCCTCTCGATCCCAGTTTTGTGGTGGGCTAACGGGAAACAACTTTGGTGGATCCTCTCTTCAAACAATGAAAGGTTTGTCAAGATGGCAACGCAACATCGGTGGATCCTTTCTTGAAACAATGAAGAATGAAAGGTTTGGGAAAAAGGGGTGGTTCAGTGGTTCAAGGGAAACAACCCCCAGCTTTTGACTTTGGTGGGTCCTCTCTTCAAACAATTAGCAACCATTCCCTTCACAACCCATTAGGAATCAACAACCTTCAGTGGGGGCTGCCTTCAGAAGTTCCAGGCTTAGATCCCAATGCATTTTTTGCAAAGGATAAGGAGAGTCAGTCCCTCTCACGGTTCCCCGTGTCGTTCAAAATCACCTTTCGGCCCCTTTCAAAGTGGTGGGCTAATTTAAATAGGTTGGACACAAAAGGAACCAACCCCTGCTCCAGGGGCTTAAGTCTGTTGCCCATTCCGCGGGTTTTTCAGATGATCCCACAGAGCGGGGAGGGCTCACTTGGCTGTGGGTCAAAACCCATGGTACCGTTTTGAGGTAGCTGCACCACCCATTGTGGTCTATTGTAGTGGGGATTGGGATGTTCACTGGGGGTACAAGCTTTTGAGCCATGGCGACTTGGTCCCGCCCGGGACCCAAGCAAATATTGTTAATACATATCCAAACAGGGTTCCTTGATCTCAACCCTACAAACCAACCCTGGAAACTAGCAGTGCTTGAAATCAGCCAACATCCAGACTGATCTCATCATCAACACCACTCGGTCGCTTTCTGCTCCCCTGCTGAAAGTTTAACTTTTAGTGGTTTAATGGAAAACCCATTAGTTGGCAAAAAGTTAAAGTCCTAATATCCAAGCAAATGCAACAAAGACCAGCACCCACAAGGATGGGTAGCATCGCCGTGGGTGGCTGCGAGCGCACCTCCACCAAGTCGATGTAGACCTGTGTGGAGCTTTTTGTGATGCGTGTTTTATGACCCGGTGGACCTCGGTTTACCTCACTGGACCTATCTAGGTCCTCCAGATTTGAGAGGTTGGAATAAGGGTACCGTTTCTTTTTCCGGTAGTCTATTTTTAGTACGGGAACCCTCCCAACCAAAAAAGAAACAGTAAAAGGGCACTACTGGGGGAGTATAAATGCCCCGTAACTTCGCAGACTCCCAAACCATCCAAACATCCCCAGGTCTGCAATGCTCATCATACCCAAACAGGCGTTGGGCCCGGAAAAATGGCCCGCGCAGAGAACCCCTTTTGCGCATGAAATCCAGAGCCAGAGTACTCTTGCTTTGGTGTTGCACAAGGTGTTCTGGAGGTAGAGTTCTGCAAATCTACATCCAGAACTCGAAACCAAAGGATTCCTAAGGGAAACCAGAGGAAACCAACGGAGACTGAAGGAAACCAAACCTACGTTCCAGCCGGCTCTTGACTCGAAATCCCTTCAAAGAACAAAAAACACATTGTCCATCTGGGTGTGCTCAAGTTCACGAGACCTACCGTCCAACTAGTTTCCCTTCAAACCAAGGCGAAACCAGCTTGGCACGCTGGGTACATGTTCGAAATTTTAAAACGCCTCTTGGTGCATTAGGATTTATCTTTTCTGGAGGTACCCTTTTTAGGGGGTCGGGGAATTGAAGAGAAACACCGCCCTTTGAGGGTTCCAACCAAAGGAGACGCCCCCTTCACAGGGAAACCACCTCTCAGTCTTGTCCTTTTGCCCTTGGCAAGTCTTGAAGACCCCCATCCCTGGGGCGTCATGCTGTGAACGGGATCGCTTTGGGGAGTCGCAAAAGCTGACTTCTTGATGGTTCTCATCAAAAAATGAGAAATGGAGCGACCAAGGGAATCCCAAAACGGTGCATTCCCAACACCCGGAACGTTATTCCCTAGTCAAGACTTTGCCGGTTGAAAGGGTGAAGGGGAAAATAAAGAAACGCCAAGGCACGGGGTTGGCAGAGTCTGGCGACAGAATCTCACCCCGGATCTTTTTGCCCTCCGTTTTTCCGGGCTTACAAAATCATGCTGCATCTCAGAAAATCCATGTAGGCAACATATACTAACATTTAACGCATTTGGAGGGTACATGTAAGGGTATATTACCTACATGGATTGCCTGGGGTGTCTTAGGGTTGACTCATTTGACAGGGTCAGATTTTGTGACTCGCTCCGTATTTGACTATAAGCAGAGCCTGGTTTTAAAATGGTCGACCCAGGCCCCTTTACAGAATCGAAAAGGCAGTTGTGGAGATCTTTTGTGGTGAGCTGGGACTATCCCTTAACCTTCATGAACCGAGGTGATTGTGGCTTGGGAATTTGGGGTTATCCCTACCCTCTACTCTGAAAATAAAGGATGCAAACGAAAACCTAGTTTTGAGCCTGTTGCTTGCCGAAAACAGGACTTTCCATCCGAAAATAAAAGCTTCTTGGAGTAGATAGGCTTCTACCCGAATCGGCTTCGCTTGCGGGCCTGGCGTTTGGTTTGTCGACTCGAAGCCGAAGCCACCGAAGCCACCGAAGCCCCGCCTCGCATTCCCGCCACAGCGCGCAGGCCTTCAAGGTCTTCTCCGAGTAGTCGTCCGCGCGGTCCTTGCCCGGCCTGCGAAGTGACCCAGCTGGCTTGACGCCCTCGTCACCGAAGCCATGGACAGCTGTATGGTTTGACCGAACCTCATATAGACATGCCTCATGTTCGAATCAACGCCACCCCCAGCAAAACCACATAACATCCACCAAACAAGGAGATCCTCCAAGAAGTGACCGCATAAAAGCATAACACAACACATCCTAAGGTTTCATCCCCAAAATACATTTTGGCTTCAGTGGCAACATTATGCTCATGCAGCACCCTGACAAGCCAGTACAAGCTGCACCCAGTCGCCTCCAAACCAAGGGAGGCGAAACATGAATTTGTCTCGCGTGCATTATTCCCCGGTATGCCTCAGTTTACTCTCCCAGGACCAAGCAATATATGTGGGCGACAACATATAAAGCTCGAAAGAAAGGGAACTAAAGACAGCACTGCAGGCACTGTTTCTCCATCCAAAGCTGCCGTCTAAAAGCTGAAATGTGTAGAGCGACTCCTCGGAGATAGGCCCAAAGGGCAAGACACGAACTTGCGCATCATATCACCAAATCGCAGCTTTGAGCGGCTCATCATGGATTGCCTAGCGCTGATGCTACAGCAAGTCCAAAACGCATTACTACTCTCCAGAACTTGACAAATTCAACCACACTGGAGCAGACCAGCGCTCATACTACGGCGGCATGCACAGGCACTGGCAACTTGTAAATGCTATGAGCGCCGTGCATGAATGCAAAGTACTAGGCTGCGCGCTGTTTCAGACATCAACCTAACTCGCCGAGTCAAATCGATTTCGAGGGTTCCCGCTTTACAGAGCAAACCGCCTCAACAGCCGGCCTGTGGCAACTGGAGCTGCTGCACAGGAGGCCCGCGCACGAGCGGTTGAGAGTATTTGTTTTCTCGAGATGTTGTTCAGTACCAAGTTGCTGTATCTCAAGTACAGTATATCGGACATTTAAGGCAATACATATATCAATAAAATCGAGCGGCATCGCAAAGCATGCAGTACCGAACCGTATCGTCATCCAACAGCCCTGATAAATAAAATGCAAGGAAATGCTCTGAGAACTCTGCAACGTGCCCGAACTCAAGCACGCCAGTGCAGGGCTCGGACGTTGCCAACGCGGGAGGGCAATGCCTTGCGAGTTTGGGATACTGCTGGAGCTCAGCCAGCATCGGGACTTCACAGCTCACCCACTAAAAATGTGTTCAAACTGGAAATGTCCGTGGGATGCTGCCATCGTCCACTGAACCCCTTCGACGGGTCTGGGGCGCTCTTGGAGCTCTAGCGTGTGGCTTACGTGCTGGTGGCGAACCATTGCACGCGGATTTTCGCCGCGACCTGCGCCGCAGCGTCAGTCTCACAACGGCGCAATGTTCCAGCAGCCCAGCCTAGGAAAACTGCCTGCAATGCTGAAGTCCATGTTTCCCGATGTACTCAGCTCATTATCAGACTTAGCACGGGCAGCCTGCTTGCCAATATGGAAGAAACCAATCCTGACCAAGACGCGCATGGGCAAGCGACTAGCCTCCACTTTGAAGCAGCGACATGGATTGCCATCGTCTCTTCTGCGGCCCTTTGTTTTGGGGAACCGAGCCTGGAAGGACCCTGACCCACACCGGACCCAGCGGAATATTCGAGCACAGGGTGGCCCAGAATCGCCGAAAGTCAGGCAGCATCCAATGAGTAGGGCTGATGGGGAAGACAATGGGCTTGGACTTCAATTCTCGCCTGACAGTAATCTCCGACATATTTCACAGCCAAAGCCTTCCTCTTATGGCCTAGCAGCACTGGCGCAAATGGCACAAATGGGCGCCGGAGTAAACAGGCAAGCTCCATAGGGCGGGCCAAGCAAAACATAGACCTACACGTCGCCAGCACAAATGCTATGCTATTCTTTGTCTGAGAAGCTCTGGCCAAGTTCTATTGCAGGCAAGAGCCCCCAAAAGCAGCAAGGAATGAAGCTGTGAAGCGTCGGGACAGTTCTTCGCCGGCTGCTTAGGTTCCAACAGCTGAGCGTTTTCTGCCCGGGCAGGCCGCACACGCATGAGCCGAAGCAGCTCAACAAGAAGGCGCATCATCTGCGCAATGGCTACTCACACAAGCCGAAAGCTCCGCCTGGGCGCTCGCTCTTGAAGGTTGTGCTCAGCTACAATCACACGCTCATGCGCACAGCCTTCGCCCGAGGGAAGTCGCGGCATTGGACCCGCAGTCTGGTGCAAGCGCAGCGGCAGCCATTGGTTGAATCAGAGACAGCTCCGTTTTGTGACAACGGCAGCTGATAGCTGCGATTGTGTGAAGACTTCCTGGAGCATTGCAAGATTGAAGGGCGCAAGGTCATGGCATTTACAATTCTTCTTTGCGTGGGCCACGTTGCACCCCACCTTTTGCGCCACACTATTTTGATTTGGGAGTGGCAAGGGCACATTCCTGCAAATAGTCTGCAAAAAAGACGGGATCTGGGCCCCAGCATTTTCGGCAGGAAGCGACCCTTCCCCAAGGGTGTCGCCCACACCCGGCCGCAGCCGGAAAGCCCTGCGTGGCATGCAACCCACATGCGCATCCCTCATCAAAATGCGTCAAGAAACCACACAAGCTAAGACGGCGCCAGCTGGAATAGTCTGGGGCGTCCATCAAGCTGGCAGAAACGCTTGGATGCTGCGGCTCCGGAACTCTCTTCGCCAAACTACGCAAGTAGAGAACCTGTGAAGCGCCGGTTCTCTGCGCAGCGCTTCACATAACTCTTTCGCAGAACCTTGCTGGGATCACCGTGAGCTGTCCCCTTTCCTGTTTTTCCCGCGAATAGCAGCGGTGGGACTCTCTGGGAAATGGATGGGGACGCCTGAAAGCCGAGGCACCCTCGGCCGAGTGGCTCACGAATGGCCCAGCTCTCTGATGACATGCCCCAAAATGCGCATCAAACCACATGGCTCAGGCTGGCAGCTTGCAACTGCACAACTCTCCCGCGCGCGCCGACGGAAACGGACTGGGGCTTGGAACCCATGGCTCTAAACAAGGGCAAGCCCGCAAGCCCAAAGCAGCAGCGGCAGGCGGTTTCCAGCTCAATAAAAAACGGAGCCTTCTGGAAACCTGCAAAGCAAGGTGGCCGTCATAGCTGCGGCTCTCACTCAATGGATGTGGATGCCGACCTCATGTACAGAAGCGCATGGATGGCAAACCTCAAGCAACCCTGGCGCCAGGGCTCAAAGCGCACACTCATTGCCCTTTCGGCGGAGGTAACATGCCTCCACAGCTTTGGTTGCATTTTCGGATGCCTGTTCCCCTCCAAAACTGGTCTGATTCCTCCTTAAACTCAGGGACACCCCCCTACTAGATTAACTGGGGTTGACGAATATTTGGGCTGCTTTGGCGGTTGGGTCGGACGCAGCGTGAGCAAGGGCCAATGCCCGATCCACATGCCCCGTGCTTCAGGATATGTAGCCTCCAACTCGGCTCCCTTGAGATGCGACACGAAGAAACCGCCGGCGAGTACGCCGCAAGCGGGGGTTCTTAGATCCAGCTGAACATGAACCCCAAAAACGCGGCTTCCTTTTGGTCTGATGGAACAGGCAATGTGTCGAATCTCCGCATCCTATCTTTCATGAAATCCCCAAGAACGGCCACTCGCTGCAGTGGCGCCAGGCTCGGGGCTTCAAGCCTGTTGGGCAGCATTGAGAGTCTCGCGCGGTTCAGCTGCGGAGACACAGCTTGATACCCCTTCAAACCATGGCGGTTTGAAGCGCTGCGAATCACACTGTGCGACTGCATGATTGTGTGGAGTGCCAACATATCAGCCAGCCGCAGGCTCAAACCAGCCTTGCTGCCAGTGGCTTTCCAGGACACCGCTGAAACTCAAATGACTGTCAGTCATTGTCAGTCCATCTACTCCAACCGCTCGGCCAGGCAGGCAAGCCTGGATTGTCTGGCAAGGTTGGCAGCGCCAAGCTCAGTGTTGCGGAGCTGCAGAGATCTTGCGCCCACTGACACGTGCCTTGAGAGTGACTGTTCCCGTGTCACTACTCCTTGCAAACTGCCAAAATCAGCAAGCTGGACTGCTACTATGGTCAGAGCAACTAAAGGCATCCTTAGGTTGAATGCAGAGATCTGCGTCGTGCGCAAACAGTGTCGTGCTGAAACCTGCAAGCTGCGAGTGAACTTCTGCGCTCAGATTTTTACTCCACCTTTGGAAACATCGCTGCAACACCCCAAGAACATGAGAGCAGTGAACAGGTGACTTCTGCAGTAGTTGGTGGCTCCAGAAGGGTTGCACGGACGGACTCCAGCAGCACTCACAAAATGTCATGACTCAACCGCAAATGTTCACAGGGCGTGTTATCATTCAAACAGAAAGAGGTTTAATACGGATGGCAGACCTCAAGCAGGCCTGCCACAAGGGCAAAGTGCCACAGCCCACCATGGTCGCCACGTGCAAAAACGATGCAGGTGACATGCCTCCTTCGCTCCTTCGGTTGCATTTTCGAATGCCAATGGTAAGGGCAGCCAGACTGGCTGCGGCGAAACACAGTCGGGGTTCGCCGTAGATGGGCTGGATCATTGAGAAAAGCCACAAGCGTCACAAGGGAGGCAGTGAATGCTCGCTTGGGACGGCACATGAAGCGGCCGCACTCTCTCACGCTGCGTGACGCGAATGGCGCGATGGCTGAGCAACAGCCGAACCTGAACAGGGGCTTTTGGATTATCCAACTGAACATTGGGCAGGCCCCAACAAGTAGATTCCTTTTGGCTTTGCGGACAAGGTGATGTTTTCAAAGACCGAAACGTATCTTTTACAGCGCCCTGCTCAAAAAAAGGCCACTCTGCCCTGGCGTCACGCGCCACGCTTGGGGCTTCAGGACCCATGCAGCTGAACTCGGTGATGTTACAAGCTCATTGAGAGTCCCGCAGTGAGCTGGGACAAACACGAGGGCCGGGAAGATGCGAGTAATGTCAAGCCCGGAAAGTGTCAGCACACAGCCACAGCAGCCTCTCAAGCGGCAACCTGCCACAAAGTCCCAAACATAGCCCAGCTGGCTTGGCCCACACCAACACAACGCCCCTCATCACGCAATCTGTTGCTACTCATACCAAGCACAAACAGCCCTGGGAAGTCAGGCTGGCATGCTGCGGTATGCAAGTTCTGAGATGCATACATTGTCTTCCCTCTGAGGGGGGGGGAGGGTGTGCCCCCGGCACAATTCTGATTAGTTTACAATGACTTTGAGGGAAGGTGGTTCCACATTTGGGGGCGGCCTGCACTGCAAATGTTCAGAACAGGTAAGGGTGCGGCATAATACACAACAAACCTACGCCGGTGGGTCGCGACTGGTCGGCAAGCGCTCGCAACACAGGGTCGCTGAGCTGCGGGGGACTAAACAACTTCGGCGAGTTCCAATTCGCACGGCTTCCCGCGGACGCCAAGTCTCAATCACTGGCCCAAAGGACCCAGAAATACAAGGTGAACCTTTTGGGGCCATGACTAAAAATGGTTGCCAAAGTTGGAAAGCCAAAAGGCTAAAAGCTCGATTCGCTTTGGGCAGCTGCGCTCATGAATCCCAGCAGTTTGTGAGCTGGCTCTCAACCAATGCATGAGAGACCCTTGGGACCCAGGCACGGCTAGAGCGGCCCTCAAGTGGAAGCATCTGCGGGCGGTGGAAAATTTGCCTTGGGCTTCCCTTTGAAGAGCTTTCATACCCTTCCCCCACCCCAGAAAGTGGATTCTTGAAGGAAGCTCTACGAAGAGACTTGCTCCGCATGCTGCCCCTGCCAGCCTTTTCGCAGGGGTGACTACAGTGCCAACTGTAGTGTCAACTGCGTGGTTGCCGAGTTTGGACTGTTGACGAAGTGCAACTGGGCCTGCCACCAAGCAACTCAGGTCAGTCTCAGCTGAGGTCGCTCATCAGCAGGCAAGCCCGCAAACATATCTGCCGGCCACAGTACAAACGCCTTGCCCTCACTCAAAGCAAATCTTGCCACGCGCTAGCTCGCCAGCTAGGAGTCATTGCTAGGAGTCATTGCTAGGAGTCATTGCTAGGGGAGTCAATGCTAGGAGTCATTGCTAGGGGAGTCATTGCTAGGAGTCATTGCTAGGAGTCATTGCTAGGAGTCATTGCAAGGAGTCATTGCTAGGAGTCATTGCTAGGAGTCATTGCTAGGAGTCATTGCTAGGAGTGAATGCAAGGAGTCAATGCAAGGAGTCAATGCAAGCAGTCAATGCTAGGAGTCAATGCAAGGAGCCATTGCTAGGAGTCATTGCCCAGGAGTCATTGCTAGGAGTCATTGCTAGGTGTCATTGCTAGGAGTCATTGCTAGGAGTCATTGCTAATCTAGGAGAGTAGACGGGCTCGCACGGGCAGAACGTCAAGGTGGCGCTTGTTGCAGTTTTACCCCCCATCTTTTCTTGCTAATTACCGTTCGACTCCAACTTTCTCAACTTCTCTCGGAACCTGCCGCTGCCAATCTGCAACGCCGCGAGTACCGCAGCCCTGCGGCCCCCGCCGCAGCTCGGAATCGGCAGGAGCACGAACATATTTCTCGGCTGTCCCAAAGCCTTGCCCCGGTCAGTACATGCTAATCTGGACTCCATGTACTCAGACATCTGCATCTCTTCAGGTGGCTATGGTGGCAAGCAAAGGTGCCTATGCATCTAGGAGAGCAACCGGCTTGCCAGAGCCTTCAAAGATTGTCACAGAAGGCCAAGGTGGTACTTGTTGCTGGTCTTAAATCCTGCGATCTTTTTGTGCTACCCTTCGACTCCGACTTTCTCAACACCTGTTCATCTGTTCTCCGCAAATACTGCTGCAAATCCGGCTCAGGTCTGGCACCCCAAGTCTGCCTGAGCCGATCGCTCCGTGTGTTGCATGCTGCTTATGGAAGGCCAATTCAGCAACACCCTTGTCAGTTCCACATCGTGTTGTTTGACCCAAACCGGTCTAAAAGCCACTCGCTGCAAAATGCCCCCATATGGTCTGGTGCGGTTTTATTGGGGTTTTGCTCGAGGCTGCAAGCGACAACATGGCTTTGCAAAGCGTGTTTGCGGCAGATATACTGTTGCTGTTAAAACGTAGTTGCCTGCTTTCTGGTGAATGTGGAGCTCACAGAATACTTGGCAGAACCAGCATCGTGGATGAAAGAGTACCCGTGCTGACTCATGCACGGCCAAAACGCATCTGCCGGGACCCGTTGATATGTGCGGATGTCAACCCACTCGTTCACTGAGTCATCCAATGCCGCTGCCGCATCAAGTTCCTGGCACACCAGTTCTCGACCCTTTGCCTCCAATGGCCAACACAAAGCTGCCGATTCAAATGCAGCAGCAGCTTGTTCCATAGTTGGTGTCAGTAGCAACTTGCGACATAACATGCTGGCTGCGAGCAGGTTCAAGCGGATGTTCAGCCAGCCGGGCGCCTGCTCCCGAACCTGGCTGATTTATGTACGGCGGCGTGCGGGCATCGGTCATGCCGTTTCGATCCAAGCGCGAACGCTCACGCGACTCTGGCGCATGGCAATGTACTACCAGAGATCGAACTAGTGAGGTCTCCTCTGAGCCAAAACGTGGGGCTCACCTCAGGCGCAAAGCATGAATATGGAATATGATGCATCTGGCTGGGTGCGTTTGTTCCTGCCTGATCTTGTTTAGTTATTGTCCGGCGCGGGCACGCAAACCATCATCGAAACATTGCCAGGAGCTGGGGGGGGGTCTAAAAATGGTGTGATGAAATGTCAATGGCAGGTCATAATATGCATAATATGCACTCCACATAAAGCCGATGTTGTCTGCGCAGCAAACAGCAAGCGAACACACGTTTGCAAACAAAAAACATTAAACTCCACCCACACATTGCGTAGCTCATTGCTGCTGTGTATGCTCACGCCACATGCAAGGACAACAAGGAAATACTAGCTTGTCTGAAAGGGCAACCTACTTAATAGTAGGCGGCCAAAGTGCTCTCAAACAGAATCTACATGGATCCTCCAGGTGAGACCAGCTTGTCTGACGAGATGTTTGCTGAAAGACTCTGGCCCAAAGGCAGCAAGTGCACGAGTGGACTGTCGCCCCGTGCGAGCGTTCCTTGAGACCCTCTACGGCGATCGTAAAAAGAATCGAAACGTTCTCGCCCTGGCGCCGTGCTCATTTGTCTTGAGCGCGCGGTGAACCCTCTGAGGAGATCGTACATATCCAAGCTCTCCCGCTGCGGCGCCGTGCGAATGTAGCTTGAGCGCGGGGAATCCTCTACGGAGATCGTGCGTGTCAATGCGCTCTCGCTATAGCCGCTATAGGGCGTACGAATGTGTCTTGAGCGCGTGAGCCCTCTGTCGGAGATCGCGCATATCGAAGCGCTCTAGGATGGCGCCGTGCGAACGTTTCTTGGTCTCAGCGAACCCTCTGTGGAGATCAAACGCTCTCATTGTGGCGACGTGCGAATGTGGCTTGGTCTGTCGGCACGAATTTGCGCCCCATTTCTCCCGTGCGTCGCCCTTGATCATGCGGTGGCCAATCTGGGGAAGAAAGCGCAACGCTGTCGTGATGACGAGCTCACAGAGACCGCTATGCGGAGGCGCCGGCTTTAGTGGCGGTTCCTGCCTTCTTACTTAGGTTCATTCCGACACTCCTAAAGTGGACCCCTTCTGGTTGGTACAAAAAAAGGGAAGCCAAAAGAAACCACTGCTTTAATTTGAGGTCCGCCATGTTGAGAATGTATCCTGCTGATTCCCTGAGAAGCAAGAATTTCGGTCGCCGCAACGTGGCCAGATCGCGCCTCACTTGCGGGGTGTCCACTTTTTGGATGGCCTGGTACACGGCATCGATCTTGTCTTCTGTCACGCCTGGCGAGAGGGATGTTGGCTTCAATTGACCGGGGGGTTGGTTTCAAAATGGGGGAGCCCAAAAATGGGTGGTTTCCCTTTACTTCCCTTTACAGCCGCAGGAAAAGGGTACCTGTCACAAAGACGCATCCGTATGCCACCCTCTGAACTCAAGCTGAAATCTAAGGAACCGTATGCCTGGAACCCCAAGTGGCTCCACTTGACGTCCTCGAAATGATCAAATCATGCCTGGGTGGGTTACATCTTTTACGGTCCATTGAAGGACCGCCCTCAGAACCCAAATCCGATGTGCGGTGCACTTAGTACTCGAACACTTCCCGAGGCTTCAGCGAGGCCGGACGATGGTTCACTTGCTTGATATCCCCTTGTCACCCTTGAAAAACGAAGGCGCCGAGCCACGCCAGCGTCGTTCCAAGATATATCTTAGCCCACTAAACCGCGAAAATCCTCGAATCAACTACCCAAATAGCCCCCAGAAGGCAGATATTGGTCCCAACATCCGACGTGACAACCAAAAGTAAAGACTTATAGAGGACTACCCAAAACCAATACCCATCAACAACAAGCCTAGGAACTGCCCCCGCAGAAACAAACAACACCTACTAGTATAGGTAATATACTCCCTGCAGATTAAAGGAACCCAGAACCTCCTTCTGGGGGACGCAAAAGAGGTCCCATGGCTTCCGAATCTGGGCCAGTTGCTCTTCCCAAGCCGAACCTTTTTTGCCACTGACATGCCTTTCCCAAAACTGGGCTGTCCTCAGATCCCCTGCTAAAGGTTTCACTTTGGGTTCAATGGAAACCCCCGCTAGGCCAACTAAAAACAACTCAAAGCTCAGGAACTGGATGGCTGGAAACCACCAAGAACCAGCGAGCTCATTTTAATCGCGGAGAAGGCACAAAGGCATCCCCAGGTCCCAAAACCAGACTCAACCTCGCTGGAATCATCGCCAAACTATTCCCAGCCCAAGTCAGACACGTGGAACGACCAGGTTTCAGCATGGAACCCAGAAAGTGGCTTTGTCCGGCGCCGCACAAGCCCAGACTTGTGTTCACTCATGCTGAAATGCTCTTCCCCCGCCCAAAAAAAAACAAAAACAAAGAAAAGGCTCAAGTCCTGAACCAAAGGCCGTAAGAACAGAAAAAAAAAAAAGAGAAGAAACACACGCAAACAAGTATGCGACGTCCGACATCCGGCATCCGCCTTCGTCTCGGCCGCCTTTCTTGCCCTTGCCCTTGCCGCTGCGTTCCGGTGGGCTGAAGCTGACCCACTCACAGGCGTCCTGCACGACGGGAGCTCGGGACAAGGAGAAACACCTGGCGTATCCATCCGCTTTTGGTGTAGCAAAAAAGGATAAAACCACAATTCTGTTGCGTCTTGGTTTGCTTTTAAAGTCCTGGATTGTTCTCCCCGTGTGCTTTCTTTGTGGGGGTTTCCCTGTTCATTGTGATGGCTAGCTAGCACAAAACCGCCGTGGAGGAACCCAAAGGGGGCCCGCAAAGGCGGCCGAAGGCTTTTGGGGAGGGTGCTGCGAACTGTTCAAGGCGACATAACGGATACGCGTTCCTCATCCTCACAAAGGGTCGCGCCGGTGGGACGGCTGCTGGAAGACCAATTTCCTCTTGAAGGGACTGGGCGGGAGGGAGGGTGTAGTGGAAGGCCCCCAGCGACACATCCCGAATCCCTGACATAACCCGAAACTCAAACCTGCGTCCAAGTGAGAGGCAGTCCTCGAAGTAGAAGTCCTCCACGGGAAACATCCGCCCTGGAATCTTGACCTCAGCTGCACGAACTTCAAAACGGAGTCGCAAAGGCACCATGGAATCTGTCCACCCGAGGTAGGTCCAACATGCCGGCACGCATCACAAACCTGGTCGAAGATCATTCCCACAATGGGCCCTTTTCGTAGGAGTCCTTCACGTCACATGGGAGGAGCGCTGCCCTCTGACAGTAGGATGGGTGAATCAATCCGAAGATGGTCGAAACAGGCACCTGTCGGGTCCTTCCGGCCATCGGGCGCCCTAAAACGGACACCACACCTGCAGATGACTGGGTGTCGCTTTTTAGACCTAAAACCAGTCCCCATGCACCGAAACAGGACCTGGCGATTCGTAGTTCGCGTTCGCTCGCCGCACCGCCCCCCCTTCACCACCTTTGAAGCATCAGGATGGACTTTGACGATACGCATTGCCAAACAAGGAGCTGACCGAAAACACCGACTCAGGCGCATATCTCAGCTTCGCTTCGTCTTCTTGGCGCGTTTGGGCGCAAGTTGCAAGTTGGTTCAGAAACCAGGTCTGTCAACGAAACTCCGGTCTTGGCCGGTTGCGCGCGGGTTCAAGCGAATCAGAGGGGACCCTTAGGGAGGGCTTGGAAATGGCAATTTCGGCCTGGCCTCACGTTGAATACGGATGTTTTTGTGCCACTGAATTGAATGCCAGGAGGCAACAATGGGTAAAAGCAGTTGAAGGCATTTTATGGCAAATGGAAGTGGCGGCAGTGGAACGACCACCATCCGGCGACTTTTAAATCGGCAAGATTCAAGGGGGTTGGCTAGGAAGGCTCCAGGCAAGGGAGTACACCATTTCGTCAAAAACCTGCATGGTCCCTCCACCAACAAACATGAAGTTGCACAGGCGCACTTCCATATTTTGTTGGGGATACCTCTTGGAAAGGGTCCATGCACTGCCATGGTTCCAAGGTCCTATGCGTGTGTCTTAGTTTAGGGGACCCTCAAAATGGTGGCTCTGGGACACATCCTTGCAAGGCACCCTCCGTCTCCGTCTCCCTCTCTGTCTCTGTATGGTCTCTGGCTCTGTCCGTGTAAGCATGCACTTGCAAGGGGGGCAAAGTACATCCTTGCAAGGTATCCTCACTGACCCCTTCAGGAAGGTCGCCCGCCGCGGTGTTGCTGGGTATGATCCCAATCGCAGACTTTCCTTGGACCCGGCAAGGAAGACTTCTTGAAAAATCCAAGTTGCAGGCTCTCCCTTCCCAGAAACGGGGGAGAAAAAAAGGAGAAAAAGGAAACAAATCGAAACCTTGCCCGGTCCGAAGGGCTGGCTTCAGGGCGGTCTGCCCGTTCACATTCCCAAAGTAGTTGGCGAAGTCTTCAGCCTTCACCGTGGCGCTCATCAGCACCACCTCACGAGCTCACGAGCTCACGAGCTCACGAGCTCACGAGCTCACGAGCTGCAAGCGCGAAGTTCCGAAGTTCCGAAGCGCGAAGGCGGCTGAATCGATTCAACCGCCTATAAATTCAAGGAGAATATTGACTTGACATGGCCAAGGTACGATATGAACTTTGAAGCATGGAGGCAAAACATATACCTTGAAAAAATCCCTTGCAAGGTGGATGGTTATAGTTGGTTTGGGGGAATCTAACCTCACTGCAGTATGTGTGGGTTTGTAGCCCACAAAGGGGGCGTACCCAAAACTAGGGGTAAATCGAGTCCAGGATGTTTCGGCCCCACGCGCCAGGTGAGCAATCCAAACCAACTGGGCTCATGGCCCCTAGAATGGTTGGTCATCATTTAGTCCCCCGCGAATTACCCCCCCCCCCCCGAATAAAGGGCACCAAACTTCCTGAGTGGAATGGTCAGAATACGTCCAAACGTTTGGTTTAGCACAAAATGCACTAAACTCACCAGGGGATACTAGGTCCCCTTGTTCACCCGGGATATGTGGCTGCGCCCTTGGAACTCAGGTTGCATGTCAGAATTGCCCTTTGGCAAACCCACAAAACATGGATCACATGTATGATCACGCGCAACTGCTCGGGTGTTCAACTGACTTAGTAAACAGGTGATAACTTTGATAACCATGATTAGAACCGGGGAGACCATTATCTACAATGTCGCCTTAAAGCTTTACAATGTCGCCCTTTTCGGGTACAGGGTGCCGTGGTTATGTTTGTTCTTGGATACGCAAAAGTAAGGAACTCCCATCCCCGAGAACTCCTTTGCGACTTCCAAGGGACACATGAAAATGACCAGGGCCAAGGCAAAGGCCACGCTGAATGACAAAGGAAGCTGATACTATGAATTGAGATGTCCAAAGTCGCAGGGGAATGCGGGGGAATTCGTTTTCGGAGGGTGTTTTCCCGTTTTTTGGGGGTTGGTTCAAAGGGACACCGTAACGAAAGCCCCGCGAGAGTTGGCCCGCACTCGGGTTTCAGGAACCCCAACTCTTGGGTCGGGGGGAGGGGGTCGAAGCGAAGACCGCAAGAAGTGGTCGCGACCCTTTGTGCGGGAAAAGGTGCCCTCTTTTTGTTGGCTTTTGTCCGGCCAAAAGATGCCAAATCGGTTAACATGCTGGTTCTCAGCAAAGAACCCCAAGAAAAGCCATCCCCGACTTGGTTTTTTAAAGGAATCCCCAACACCTGTTCATTCCCAACAGCTAGTTGCCTCAAGCTATTGTGGATTCCCTCCTTTCTGGGGAGTCCAATTTTGCAACTGCACCCATTGGTTGGTAATCCCAGTCATTCCATTTCCCTGTGCAGTGGGTACCACCCAGAAGAAAGTACCATCGCCTTGAGGTGGGGCATGCGACCATTGAGCATGGCTTCCTTCAGGAGCAGCAGCAGGAAATCCGTGTAGACCTAGGATGCGAGGCTTGCTGGCCTACCAAAAAAAAAGCGGGGCAAACGGATTTATCAGATGTTCACATATATAGGTGTGGCTCACAATCAGAAAGCTAGGGCTACGCAGGTTGTACTTGTTTCCATTTGCCAAGGAATCATGCTGGGTACCATTTCGTGAGCAGGCAAATGATCTTCTTTCTGTGTTAGGTCGAGGCAGATACAAGCTCGGCCCCAGTTAGACCGCCCAACCCGACTGACGACCCCTAAGATGTCGCAGAACAAAGCCGGCTGATAATGGCTGGATTGGCGTAGGAATTTGAGATTCTGCTCCGTAGAAACCCCAATATAAATGTCAAACCAAATACGGACACGGCAATGGGCCAACCCCCTGCCCCTGTTGAAACACTTGCAACTCCCTCCATCGAAACACTCCTTGCCTCCCCCTCCGCCGGTTGTCGCGGCACAAACTTCTCCGGCCGTTTGGTGGCGTTCTTCGCATCGCCTTTGTTGTTGCCATTGTTTTTGTGAGTTGCCAAACTGGCGGGGTGATGTTGAATATGCTGATGGGTTGGTAGAAGTCCGGATACCCGCTTGAATGGGGCCCCGCAAAAGAGACAGCCAAAGGTTCTGCCACTTCAGCGGCGCTGAAGGGGCAATCTATTGGGAACCCTGAACCATTTGAACCCAGGCGCATCCCGCTCGTGGACCTCATCGATGATAAGGCACCCGATGCTGTCCTGACGAAGGCTCGGGCATGTCATCATGTCGCTTGTCGCAAGGTTCCTCATCTTTGTGTCTGTGTGTGTGTGTGTGTTTCACTTGCTGGTCCGATAAGTAGGGAATGTGGTTGAATGAACCGAAAGGGGATTCCCTTAAAGGACACCACCAGTTGGATGGTTCAGGGTCATTCCCTGCGTCTCTCGCCCAGCAAGTTCGCTGGGAGCCCTCCGGTACGATGAAATCCTTCCTCGCATGAATGGACTTGGTGTTTCATCAGAAGCCAAAGGGGAGACTCCCGTTTCAGGTCCATGTTGGGACAAACCCATACAAACATCAGCAACTCATGAAAAGCCACTGAAATTGATGTTCCACGAAAAAGGGGGCATGAAACTCGATACTGAGACCCCAGGATTCATAAGTCCCCAGTTTATAAACAGGCGGCAACATTTTAGACGGGACCCAGGTCTCTGGATGGCGCCAGCCTATGCAAAAGGACAGAGCCGAGCTGGCTTCCCTCCTGGTTTGGATTGGTTTCGAGGCTGGGGAAGGTTTGCCATTTGCCCTCTAAGCCATGGGGTTCAAGTTTTCCCAACCACCAATCCAAACCGGCAAATTGGGGTCGCCTGACTTTTCGCCGTTTAGTCCAAAACCAACGTTAACAAAAAAATAACAACCACATCGCGGCACAGTGGACATAACCTCCCATGTCGCCCGGTCCAAAGTTGGCTCGCTGTGCAGTCTCCGCAGGACAATCGCGGTGGTCGCATAGATCAGGCCTCGAACTCTGGGGCTCGCCACACGAGAAACATGTTGCTCAGCCTGCGATGCCCCGCTTGGGGTTGGCTTAGAGGGAAACCACATGGAAACGACCAATCTTAGGGACAAACCCAAATGATCTCTGGGGGTTTCTGTTACACCCTGGGATTCCATAGGGAAACTCCCCGAAATAGTTCCAAATATCTATAGGTTGTAGCTGACGATTGTTCAAGCGAAATGGTGTGATTCTTGGAATGTGATCCCTGCTTTCTATTGGCCCACAGATTTCCATGTAATATAAGAGGCTAAATACTTACTCAGAGTTTACTCTGTCGATCAGGACAAAGTTCGGTTTGAAGGTACCCCATTCTATTCTAATCATTTGGGCCCTAGCAAGCATCATCACCCCAATTTCCAAGACGGAAATTAATGGGGGTTCTCCAGAGACATCCCCTTCATGTTGATTTCCCTTCAAAACCATCCAACCAGCCAGCAACCCTGCATCGACGTTGGCAGGAGAATCTACGACACGCTCATCGCACTCGCCACATGTTTTTGTTGCTTCTGACCTGAGCATCCAGCGCGTGCTCTCGCAGAACTTGTTGATGAACCGGATCTGATATCCTACCTGCAAAGCACTGGCACCCGACATTCGGGTTCCGTGCCGATGAGCTTTCGTGGTTTTGGCAAGTTTCGTGGTCGAAACTTCAACTGATAGGAAGTTTCGTGAGTCTCCTTTGTATTTGGGATAACTAGTGAGTCCCCCTGGTCCCTTGCCCCTCCACCATAGAATTCTCCCGTCTCGTTGCAATCCCCCAACCTTTCGTTCTGCAAAAGCTGCTTCGGACCAAGACTTGACCCAAAGGCCAAAGGCCGAAACCTGCCTCATCACCAAGCTCCTGCGCGATAGACACTCCGCTTTTCCCCAGGTGCCGCAAATTGAAGGGAGCCATGGAAGGCACTAGGAAAAATTGAACGCTGAAACCAGTGCCATCAATGTTCAGAACTCGACATGAGAAACCACCATCTGTGTTTTCAGAACTGAACATGACTTGTTACGTGTGGAAACATGCATCAACAAGTTGAAGCGAAAGAGGAACCTGAGCTGTGGAAAACACACATTCTTGAAACCTCAGGGAGGTGACTTCGGTCAAACCAAACAGCGCGGGGATTTTTTCCAAAGTCGAAGAAGGGACACCTTTTTAGTTCATACCCCTTTCCCTTTGGCTTGATCTCCTTTTGGGCCAACCTTGTTTCCCAGCCCTCATATTAGCGTTTATCTTGTTGATTTGTACCCGGGTTTTGGCGGTTTAAAGATAGACGCCAACAGGAAAACACAAATTTTGGCAGGTCCCACCTAAAAACGTAGTGGTGACAGTTGGCATGAAGCGGCCCAGCTTCTCCTCCGTGCCATTATTGGGGCAAAGGGTTTTGGAGTTTCTTTCCAGACCTGGCTCTCCTCCCAATGTCCTGTCCCGTTGGATGCATCGCTTACTTGTGCCTCTCTGGAAGATATTATCAAAGTCACTGCACTCTTTGCCCGAACATCATCGGACCGTGAAGCCGCATTGAGACGGGACAATTTTGCTTTGGCATTAAAACGTTCCTGCGAGGGTAAAGGGGGTAAGATCGCCCACTCGATTATGCGTGGTAGTGCCCGTGAGGAAATCTCGGCCCTTCACGTTGAGAAGGAAGTCCCATGGCAATTCTTGAGACGGAGGGCTAAGAGTCGTGCTCTAGTTCGTCTGCAACTCTTAAATCTTTTGGCCGTGAATCCCTCCTTTGAGGTGGGTGGACATAAGGTCACCCCGGTTGAGGATCCCCCTGGTAATTTGTTCTCTCTTCCACCCCACGCACAAGTGGACGGTGAGGCTCGTGCCGTCTGTAGAGCATGGGCATACGGTCCGGAATCCATCCAGGAGGCCTTTTTCACCTTCTGGTCCGCTTTCTGGGGTAGGGATGACTCCCAATTGGAGGATCCACCTGATCTTCATCACCTTGACGGTATCAGCATCACAGCGGACACCATCAGATTGGATGTTCCCATGCTCCAAGCCGCAATTCACGATACCAAGCACAGCACGTGTATTGTCTCAGACGGTTGGTCACAGTCCCTCATGGCGTGCCTCTCTGATAATATGCTGGAGGACTTGGCCAACGTGTGGAACTGTATCTTTCTAGAGGTGGGCACGGTACCACCATGCCTGCTGTTCGCAAAAGTTTTCTTGCTTGGGAAGGTTGCCCATCCTGAGACCATCAATCAATGTAGGCCTATAACTGTGCTGCCACTAATCTTTCGGGTCTGTATGAAGGCGGTAGTTCGAAAATTGATTGCCACCATCGCCACTAGGGTACCGCCGTGTGTCCTGGGTGGCTTGCCGGGTAGGTGCGGTGCAGATATTTATTTCTCGCTGCAATCCCTTATTGAGTCTGCCATTGACCGTAACTGTCGCTTGTGTGGAGCCGTCTCGGACATTGTAAAAATGTTCAATGTGATGCCTCGTCCCTTTGTACGCGCCTTGTTACTTAAGGTGGGAATCCCATGCACTTTTGCCGATACGTGGATGCATATGTTGTATAACTTTCGCAGACACCTCTTTGTTATGTCAAACTTGTCGGAAGGCCACCTGTCACTGTGTGGGATCCCCGAAGGGGACCCACTGTCGGTGGTGTGTGCTATCCTTAATGGGTGTGGTATGGTCAGGAGTGGTCCGTGCCGGCAATACCGATGTGATTCCTCAGTGCTACGTTGAAACGCTGCGGCGGATCTTGCAGCAGGACAGGCCGTGCAGGTCGATGCCCCGTGGGTTAGATCTTGTCGCACCCAGGCGCTTGCAAAAGTTGCCCGCTATCGTGCCTTTTTCCTGCAGGTTTATGACGCTGTCGGGGAAATGCAGGAAGTAAACATCCCTAGGCAAGGAGAGGTAAACCGGACCTATAATCGCCATGTGGCACCGCCTGTTGTTGCGCCGGCTGACTACATCACAGTTGCCATACCATTCAGACAAAATTGGCAGTTTAGCTGTACTTGGGGTGTCACGTATACCCAGGCACTCTTGGATTGGTTCCATACTCTGAGGTGGCCGGCTGCTCCACAGGTTGACCGCGTGGTTTTCTGGTTTGAACTTTTGATTTCCTTTCGCATGTTTAGCGGATTGAGGATCCCCTTGCCGAACAATGCCTGTCCTGGGACTTTCTGTCTTCCTGAAATTAACCCTCTGCTTGGTGGTAACCCTATAAGCTTAGGGGAGGAGACTCGAAGATTTCAGAGCTCGATCCGTACCATTCAAACCCTCATGTCAGGGCCCCTCCTCCCATGGCCTGCTGGGGTCCGGCAGGATGCATATCAAGTCATGGGTGTCCCCGGTATTTGGGCGCAAGGGTTTAGGATCCGGCCTTGGTTACCCTTTCAGGATAAAGTTTCCGAATTCCTTGTCGCTTATGGCCAGAATGCGCAAGGCAGCATGCTGCAGCCAATTCAGCTTCCGGTTGAACCTTATGTGCTGTCGCCATATGATGCCCTCGTGCCCTGGCAATCGCAGCTATGTGAATTCCGCAAACTTAAGGCAATGAAGCAGAAGGGACTCAGACCCTCGTGCCTTCCCTTTGACATCCCTGGGCCCTAGGCCAGGGTGCACGGTGAGTGTGCTGTGCATTGTTCGACCAAGTTGTCATGACCTGTTCCAAAGTTCCAAGCATGGCAACTTGACTATTAAAGCGCGCCGACTGCCTTGCATCCTCAGCATCATATCTCCCCCATTGCCAGCATCACCTGCCTGCCAAACGTTCCAATCGTGCCTCCTGCAGCTGGCAAATGTGCCAGGCTTAATCTAAGCCCGAACAACAGCACAGTGGAACCACGCGTATGGTCATTATTCTTGCCTTCCTGATGTGTCATGCCACATTGTGTGGGCCAAGTCCCCCTAGTGGGGTTAGTTCCCACTGGCATTCTTTGAACCAACTCGGATCCGCCAGCACGGTGAGTATGCAGTGCAATTTTTCTGTGGACTTGATCGGTAATGCATACCCTGCCACATCAGGTCCTCCCTGGATCCTGGTGTGTCTGTTTTGGTATGCCTTCAGCATTCTTGATGTGGATACAGGTGGTTGTACAGTAATTCGTGCATGCTTGTACCACCACTCTTGTGAAATTACAGATTGAACATTCATACGTGCATCTGGGCTCTCTGCCCACCCACTTTGTTACTTCTTGTTACGAACTGCATCTGGTACTTGAACTGCCTTCGGGCTAACCCATGTTGTATTTGCCGCATGACCGGTGGGCGTTGCCTTCAGCCATGTGCAGTGTGTGCCACACCACTGTCTGTCTTCTTTCACTGTCTTCGAAAGGAAGTTGTGGTGGGTGCTTGGGGTTCATGGCTTTTCTGTGCTTTGATGCCTTTATCTTCGCCTTTGAGGCAAACTTGATTACCCGAGACATGTGTCACTCAGTGCCTTTACTGAGAGAGAATGGGGTCCTTGACACTTGTCCCCTGCCAATTATTATCTCTTGAGTGCGAGCTTCAATGCTCCGATATCGTGTGTGAGTTTGAGATGCACATCCGGTGCCTCAAACCCTCTCGTGGCCACTTCGGTGGCATGCAAGGTAATACTCCTGGGTTTTCCCCTGTGCGTGTTCACGGGGTCTTTTCGTTTCACTTGGGGTCCGTTTGTACTTTCGGGTGACCAGTGCCCTGGCTCAACTTCTGTTTGCTCCAACTGTGACAGCGCTTGGCATATGGAGTTTGAGGGGGGGGTTTCCAGGGTAACCTTGGGAGCCGCCCCCGGCATCGTCTCTCTGACAGGTCCCACCTAAAAAAAATCGAGGGTCGGTTCTTCGTGATTTTCAAGGGACACCAAAAGGGTCCGACCTTCAAAAATGAGAAAAACACCGCCAACTTTGGTGGGTTCGATCTAAAAAGTTGGAAAAACCGCTAATTTTGGTGGGTCCGACCTCAAAAAAACGAGAAACAACGCCACTCCGACCTTTAAAAAAAAAGTGAGGAAAAAAGAAGAACAAAAACGCAACATTTTGGTGAAACAGCCAAAGTTGGGTGGGTCCAACCTCAAAAAGAGAGAGAGAAAAAACAACCATTTCCCCGCCGCCTGAAACCGGCGTCGGCATCGAGCAAACCCGGCTCGCGGCGCTCCTGGCGCCGATCCTTGGCCACGTACTCCGCCAGGGTGATGGCGGCCACGCGCCGGGGCTGGGTGCAAACCACCACCTGAGGAACGGAACCAAGTTGACCCTGGATGAATCAAACCCCCTGTTTATCAGTAGGGGATTGTTAACCAACCCCTTTTTATTGGTAGGGTTTGTGGGCATATTAATCAAACAAGAGAGTGTTGACCCCTGTGTATTGATTGGGGGTTGGTGGGTTTGCTGGGGAATCATCACTTTTGGCAGGAGCTTGCGGGCTTATGGGGAATCAACACTTTGTGGGTTTGTGGTTTAATATGGGGGAATCAACCATGGTTTGGGGAATCAACAGTGGTTTTCAACCCACTTTATTAACAGGGTTTGTGGGTTGAGTGGGGAATCATCACGAGGGCTTGTGGGTTTAGTGGGGAATCATGACTTTTGGAGGGGAACCATGAACCAACATATGGGTGTGTCTGTTTTCGAGACCCTTTGGGGGGCTGTGTTAGGACACCAAAAGCAAAGACACATTTTGAGTGGTTCCCCCATGTTCCCCCTATCTAGAACACGGTATGGATTCGAGCTGTTTACGTGGATTTCCACCTGCTTCAAGCCTCCTGGTTCTTGTTGAGTACTCTTTTAGTGCTCTTTTCATACAGAGCTGGATCCACAAAAACCGCATCCAAACCGTTTGAAAGAACAACGGGGGCAGGGTACGTCAAGTAGGTGGTTAGTAGGCCTGGTTTAACCCACCAAAATACTGTGGATGGTGACGCGAAATCCTCTTCTCGCACCAAGAAATCAACCATGGTTGAGACCATAACGGTTGTGCGTATTTACAGGGGGATCATCATTCCAGGGATGGCTAGTAAACCTACTTATAACGCTCTGAACGGAGACTTATAACATAGCTTTTGTGGGTTGTAAGTAGGCTTACTAACCACTTACTAAGTACTCCGCCCCTTTAAGTACCTTTGGGGGTCATGACCAAAATAGAAAGCAAAAAGTAACCAAAATAGGAAGCACACCTTTTGGGGTCATGAGTCCTCACCTGATCGAGTGGACTGGCCTTTTAACAAGCTCCCGAACTCCTTGAGTGCTACTTGACTTGGTCTGAGTGACTACCCTCCCTCCAGTAGAAGCTGACGATCGGGTGAGCCACGGGAACCCACTTTCTCCCACTTCATGATTGTTGGAGGGTAACCTTTTGGGGTCATGACAAAACAATCACTCTCTGCAGGTGAGCGATTCCAAAACTGGAAACGAGGAATCCCCGAATAAATGAGCTCGCCTTACCTCTCAATCGGTGAGCTCACCACAAATTTTGCCAGGTCTTATCTCCCTGAAGATACACCAGCTTGAAACCGCGGGCTCCGTTCAACCAAGTCCTCCAGTGACTGGCGAAGGGGTGCCCTTTGGGTTGTTGTTTAAAGAGGAAGACTCTGGGCGAGCGGGCGAAACGGTGGGATTCCTTTGGCTTCGCTCCTTTCTGGGTGGCTTGGTGGTGGGATATCCCATTTATCCAAACGATCCCGTTCAAATAAATCCCCTAAACCGATCGACCAATTCAGGGTTTCTTGATACTTTGAGACACCCCTACGACATGCTTCATGACATGACCGGCAGTTTCGATGGCAAGGGATTCGGTGGGAAGGGCAAATGGTGCTAAACGCGTGCAACCATGACTCTCCCATGATGAGGCAAGTGTACCCCACAAACCCGCTCTAGTGATTTAGGCCCTGGTGGGTTGATCAAAAGGTCCTTCACATGGAACGACCATTGGGGAAAACAACTAAACAAATGATATTGGGTCGAGATTTAATTTGGGATTTTTTTTTGTTTTATTTTAGGATTTTTTTTTGTTTTCCGTCCTGGCTACTAAAATGCTGTAATTTACAGCATTTCTCGCGAAATGTACGTATTTTACGCTAGTCCGTCAACATCATCAGCATCGTTTTCAACATCCCCCGCATGTCCAGCCAACATCGCCAGCATCACCAGCAAATTGGCTTCCCGCATCTCATGGTAAAAGTGAGGATTCAATTAAAGGCGCAGGGGGGTTGGGGGGGGCGGCAGCCTTTTGCGGGGGGGGCCCCCCCATGATGATTGAAAAAGTAATGATTCAACTGGAGGCGCGGGGGTGTTGGGGCGGGCGGCAGCCCCCCCATGATGATCGAAAAAGTGATGATTCAATCAGGGGCAAAGAGTCTAAAAATAGCGGGGGGGTTGGGGGGGGCGGCAGCCCCCCCATGATGATCGAACAATTAGGGGCAAAGAATCTAAAAAGTAGCGGTCGCATGATGATCGAAAAAGTGATGATTCAAATAGGGGCAAAAAGTCCAAAAAATAGCGGGGGGGTTGGGGGCCCCCACGATGATTGAAAAAGTGATGATTCAATTAGGGCAAACCAAATATAAAAAAAAGCAGCGGGGGTGGCATCAGTGCCTCTGCGCCGAGGCCTCATGGTACAAGTGAGGGTTCAAATACGGGCAAACTAATCCCTGCAGATCGAAAAAGTGATGATTCCATCAGGGGCAAAAAGTCCAAAAAATAGCGGGGGGTTGGGGGGGGGGGCCGGCAGCCCCCCCCACGATGATCGAAAAAGTGATGATTCAATTAGGGCCAACAAAAATATTAAAAAACAAGCAGCGGGGGGGGCATCAGTGCCTCTGCGCCAAGCCCTCATGGTACAAGTGGGGTTGGGGGGGGGGCTGCCGCCGCCCCCCCCATGATGATCGAACAATTAGGGGCAAAGAATCTAAAAAGTAGCGGTCGCATGATGACGAAAAAGTGATGATTCAAATAGGGGCAAAAAGTCCAAAAAATAGCGGGGGGGTTGGGGGGGGCGGCAGCCCCCCCCACGATGATTGAAAAAGTGATGATTCAATTAGGGACAAATAATATATATAAAAAAGCAGCGGGGGGTCATCAGTTCCTCTGCGGCAAGGCCTCATGGTACAAGTGAGGATTCAAATACGGGCAAACTAATCCCTGTAAAACACCTAAAACGTAGTTAGGGCCAAAAAATATATATAAAAAGCAGCGGGGGGGGTGAACAGTTCCACTACGGCAAGGCCTCATGGTACAAGTGAGGATTCAAATACGGGCAAACTAATCCCTGTAGATCGAAAAAGTGATGATTCAATCAGGGGCAAAAAGTCTAAAAAATAGCGGGGGGGCTGCCGCCCCCCCCAGCCCCCCCCATGATGATCAAAAAATTAAGGGCAAAGAATCTAAAAAGGAGCGGTCGCATGATGATCGAACAAGTGATGATTCAATTAGGGGCAAAAAGTCCAACAAATAGCGGGGGGGTTGGGGGGGGCGGCAGCCCCCCCCCATGAGAATCCCAGAGGGTTCAAGTACCTTCTAAGGAGGTACTTAGACCCCTTGTTACCCCCCAAAAGTACTCGGACCCTCTGGGAATATTTCAACCCAGAACGAAAAGCCCAGCGCCCTCTCAGACTCTCTCGTTCCAACGGCCTTGTCGTCGGGCACCAAATTCTCGGCGTCGCAGACCTTGCCGCGGGTCCCCAGAGATGTTTTGCTCGAAACCAAAAGGAGAAAGCCCAAAAGCCCAGCTCAACAAGGGCCCCCAACTTTGAGAAAACACAGATGTTCTTGGGGGGGGTCTTTTTGTTGATTCCGTTGTTGGGGTGGTTCCATTTGGAGAAACAAAAGGACATCCATCAAGGTTTAGGATCCTCTATTTTGACAACCCAATTATGAATTGGTAGCTGCATTGGTGGTTTGCCGGTGTTCCAGGGGTGGTTTCCCGTTTACCCTCCAGAACCAGCGGTTCTGGTCGGTTTCCTGTTGGTTTTCTCTTCGAACAACAAAAAGGGGGGGGAAATAGAGTTGGAGGTGATTCGCTAAATGGTTGACCCAAAGTTGACATTGCCAACCACCCCCCCCTTGAAGGTTCCGCGTACTGCCCCAAAATATGTTCTTTTCTGCTCCCAAACACGGGAAACCTCTGAACCTACACAAGGGAAGTGGTTCTTACCCAGCAGGCTGCCAGCTGCAGATTAGATATGGGCGAGTCTGGGTAGGGTTGAAGGGAAACACAAGGGAAACCCACCGTTGTGGGGATCCCCTATGTTAAGACACTCACACGCAGAACAGTATGTGCCAAAAGGGGAACACTTCCTTTTGGCGTCCCGTTAAACCAATCCCAAGAGTCCACCAAACCCAACCCTTCCGCGGCGCCATTTGGGCAAAGAGCGAGCTGCGGAATCAGCGTGGACCTCAAGACGCGCCCGAGTTTCAGCCCAAAAGGGGCAACGGACCACACGCCGAAGCGGTCTCGATTGTCTGGGGTTAGGCCAAACGCAACTTTGGCTATACTACAGGTAGGGGTGCCCGGTCCTTCCCAAGAAAAGGTGTCTGGGGTTTTCCCAAAACCGATGAACGCACCAACGCCCAAGTGGGGGAAGTGCAGCCCATCGTGGCTTTGCCGGGAGAACTCTTCACATGGCCACACACCTGGACCGAGGGTGCCGCTAACTCGAATACTGTCCAGTCCTGCTGTGCCTTCAAAGCAAGGGAAACACCAACCACTTTTGAGGAGGTGTATAGCTATATATAGAAGCAAAAAGCAAACGAGTCAAAACGACTTGGACCCCTTTCGAGTCGAACTCAATTGGTGCCCGGTTCCAGCTAGAGGGAAGCTTTGTCTCGAAATAGGGGCCGCTTGAAATTGGCTCAAGAATGATCACACCAAAAAGGGTACCATTCAGGTCGAGAAAACTGGTCGCACTGGGATACTCCAAAAAGAAACCTATTTTCAGATTATGTTTCATATTTTGACTACCACAAAAGCATCAAAGAATAACCATACCCAGTGCTTGCCAAACAGGCCACTTATAGTAGGTAACCAAGAATTGTCCTTTTGGTTTTTGAAGGGTGGCAAGCCCTTGGTTCCCTATTTAAATGGAATCACTGGGAAAAGGCTTTGGTTTGGAGACCCCGATTGAACCATTTTCCTTCCTCTCGCTCTCCGGAAACCTTTCGGAACCCAAGGAAGCTCCCCCATCCCCGAACTAGGCCTATCGACCCCATAGCTTTCAGCTAGACATTCGGCTGAACGCACCCGCACTCGTTCGTGCTGCAACCGCACACGGGAACCCAAGGGCCCATGGAAAAGCGCGGCAGCCGTCTTGCAAATGGCGTTTCCCCAAATTGGGGAGCCCTTGATTTCAGTTGCCCCGGTGACCCTGGTGAAAACATGCTGGAAGCCTTTTGCGGTTGATTGCTGTTGAGTGGAAAAGCCACCAGGAATGCGGGTGAAGTTGACTGAACAACTGGGTGGGGTGAGGGACTCTGGGTAGCTGAGCTTTTTTTGAATCGCCTCCCTTGGTTGTCTCACTGTTCGTGATCTGCTTTCAGTTATGTATAGGTTCTGTTCCTGAACGTTGGCGCAGCAGAACTTGGGGAAGTGAATTTTGGTCCAAATCTGGGCTACACAGAAAGTCATAGGTTCAGATGTTGGGGCCCTAAATATACAAAAATGTTGCGGAGAAGGGCCCCCGGCTTGCCACAGCCGGTGTCGCCGCTGATGATGCTCCTCAGATGGCCCATGCGCAATGTAGCAGTTTGGGGCGAGTGGTTTTAAAGGGAAGCCAAAAGGAGGCTGGAAACCAAACACAAGACACGGGAAACGAAGAGAAACCAATTTGCGGGTTGGAGTGCAAGCCAAGTCCCGCGGTCTGACCATGGCCGCCTCAGGGGCCCTGGCACTAGATCTAAACTGAGGATCAGTCCGAAAGGAACCAATGGTTTTGCAAGGGAGAAAAGGCCCACCCACCCCACCCACCCCACCCACCCCACCCACCCCACCCACCCACCTCACCCACCCTACCCACCCCACCCCACCCCACCCCGCCCCCCCCAGCCGCCTTTATTTTCGAAGGGATACCCCCACATCGCCGGTGGGGTGTACCAAGGCACACGACGTTGTGCCGGATACCCGCGATGATCCAATCCTGCGGTCGTCTTTGGGGGACCCAACATGGTTTCTGTCAAGCGGGTTCCAGAATGCTACACGCAATGATTGTCCTGTGATTCGAACCCGTTTAACGGGTCCCTTGATTAATTACCTGCAGCCAAAAGGGGATGCATTTGGATATTGCTTTCACGTGGTGTGCCGTCTTTGGCCTCTGATAAACCGCCGTTTCCCACCTTGTCCCCCAAACACGATACACATACACACCCTCCCCACCCCAACCCCAGAAATGCCGTCAGCCACATTGCTATGAACCACCCACACACACACACACACAGCCCGCCCATACACCGCAGAGAGGCCCAAACACCACCCCAAATGCCACCCGCCAGCCACAAGCAGCGCATCACTTCTAGCGTTATCACCCCCCAAGAGAACACTGAAATAGCAAACACATGTCAAAGCAGTGTGATGTGGCTGGCGCAAGGGTACAAGTATGGCAACCCTGAACAAATGCAGCTATACACGAATTTCTGCCCTACATCGACTTCTTCTGTTGAGGCCAAGGAGCAGCCCTAACCCTTTGATGTGTAAGCTACAAGAGGAGGTCAGAAGAAGGACGTGTTGCTTAACAGGGAAAATGAAGGAACCCTCAATTCCTCAGTGGCAAAGGGCAAAACAGTCCGGCCACACCGCAGTTTCACTTCTGAGGTGGGGCAAGCTCCAGGGACCTGGTCGCTTTCCGGTCGCTTTCCATATCCGATCCACGCCATCCCAACTCGGAGGTACGCCTCTGCTTCATATGAAGTCGACCCCGAAAAGCCAAAAGAAGAACTTGAAGGAGACCAAAGCCGTTGAGTCCGGGTCTGACAAAAAGGGGTTGGATGAATTCCATGAATCTCTATGTGTCCAGCCTGCAAACACCAGCGGAACTCACCTATAGGCCTACATCAAAACGCAACATATGCCTTTCTTTGAGGCGATTTGTCTTGAGGGGTTCGTTTGCAGACTGAAGGAGCACCACCAAGATTGGAGCTGCAGATTGGGATCAGGCCTGGACCAGAAATTGTGCTATCGAACATTTTCTCCCCCAAGCAAACAAACAAACATGGCTACCCTCCTGTCCACCATGGAACCCCCCAAAAGGGTCCCGTCGTCCAGAAACCCGCCAGTGCGGTTCCAAAAAGGATCAAAAAGGTTTAGGCTACTTCCTTCTTTAGGAGAGTACCCGGTAATTACACCCTTTTTTGTGGTCTTAAAAGGAAACCACCACCCATTTGGCTGTGGGTCAAAAGATAAGGTATCCAAAATGGGTTGCCCTGGAGAAAAACGGAGCCAAGGACCCCTGGAAAAATATCTTGGGGGACTACCCCCTTTTCTTGGGTGTTTTGTCGGACACCACCAAGCAAGCCCCACCCATTTCAGAGGCCCGCCAAGACAACATGGGTCATAAAACCGCTAAACGGGATCCCATTTAGGGTGAATTCACCAACCGTTTTAGAGCCTATTTTAGTGGAAGATTGGGATGTTCACTGGTACGGTTTGGATTGTGGCCCATGGCCACATACGGCTGTGGGTCAAAAATAACCCCAGAATGGAACCAGCTGGTAAATGGAAGCATGGACTGACTCAAACCTGCGGTTTTCTGGTGGCTTCATTTTGACCCATCACATACCAAACATCGGCCGCGTGGTCCCGTGTAATTTTGACCCATAGCCACGCCACGCAATCGCCCGTCGCCTTCTTCTCGTAGGTGGGCATCCGCTTCGACGCCGCGCTCATCTCCGGGGCGCTCGCCCGCCGGCTCTTCACCTCGACCCCGTGACCGGACCGCGACGACTGGCGACCGCGGCGGTCTGTTGGCGCCTCCGAGCCATGGGGCGTTTTGGGAGCCACCGGAAATCGTTTTGGGAGAAACTATAGGCACGATGGGCAAAGTGGGACAAATTAAGGGGATTTCCCACTAAACCACAATAAGCAAAAGTGTAAAATGTTTCCCAACGACAACCATGTAAGGGTCCATTCACAAGGGCCCATAAATCTTTTGCCTAGACCAAAAACAGCAAAGAAGCAAAGAAAGAAGTGGTGGTCCTTTTACATCACGGGGCTGCCCGTTTTCTAAAAATGACTCACTTTTGGTGGGTGAAATGGAAACACTAAACACTGAAAGGCGAAAAAGCTAAGGGGATGGCTGGGAGCCACCATATAATGTGGCAGCTGTAGTGGAAACCGCCAGTAGATCGGGTCAACTTTTGAAGGGGTGTTGGACGCTTCACAACGGGTTTATATGTCAAAATAGGCAGATCTAGGATAAAGTCAGCAACTGGGCGATCTAGGTCTCCCAGCATCATGTTGGTTTCCCTTCAAAGCAAAGGCTAAAAAGGACACCCTCCAAAAAAAGTGAAACACACCATGAATCGGTGGTGGTGTTCCGGGCTGGTTTCCCATTTGATCTCAAGAACCAGACGTTCAAATCCAACTGACCCCTTGAACCAACTTAGCAGGCTATAGGCTTCCCCCATCTGGGGAAAATTGGGGGGGTCTCCTGATATGGTCATAACCTGTAGCTTGAACACTCAAGAACCACCTGAGCAATAATCAAAACCGATTGGTACTAAGACGGCCTACCCAGAACCCTGTAAAGAATTAAAGAGTCAAAGAGGCGGCCTTCTGGCAAGAGGATTCTCCCTTAACCTTCAGCTACCCGAATCGGTGTCTTCTATCTGCTTCCCTGGAAAAATATGAGAAACTATATTTCAGTAGTGAAATCGATCAACCTTTGAAACCACCAGAGGAAAATGAAAAACCCAACTTCATTTCAGCAAATGGAAGTTGGATGGTTGGCTTGTTGGTTGCCTGTCCGGTTGGTCTTACAGCACGGGGATTCTTTTCTATCCGAGTTATTTACCTCACTCGGCTTCGCTTCGCACGCGGCCACGACTCGACGAGTCCACGTCGCCTCGGCGTCCTTCGCCTCCGTCACCAGGCCCTGGCCCGGCACGAAGGCCGCCGCGTCCGCGCGCATGTGCCCGTCATCTCAGGGGGCGCGGGGGGGGGGGGGGGGACTTGGGTTGGCGACCAAACGAAGGATGGGCGGAAACGAAGCCTGTTGGAGGATTAGCCACTCTTGGGAACTCAATGAGGAGAGTCAAATGCGCAAATGCGCATAGGTTGAAGCTAACACTATATATTGGGATATGTTGGGTCTAACAAACGGTACCCTTTCGGATGCACAAAGCACATAAGCGTGCTTCTGGACGTGTTTTGTTCCTGAACTAGCTCCCCAACCCTAACCTCCCCATGTTTTCAAAACAAATCCCCTGCCAAATTCTTCAAATGAAGGTCTCGGTTGCATCCACTCCAATCATAGGTGTCCAAGTGACAAATTCCCTTTAAACCCAACAAGGGAAAAAACATTGTCTTAAGCAAATGGAAGGGTGGAATCCAATCCCAGCCGCCTGCCACCTTCTTCTTCTCAAAAAGGTGCTGCCCGCCGCCCGGAGCGGCATGCGGCTTGGCCTACAGAACGCGACTTGGCACCCTTTGAGGGGACGCCCCAAAACAGATTTCGGACGTGTCCTTGTGGTTGTCTTTTTCAAAACACACAAGAAGGCACCCTAAAAAAAAACACATCGACAAACACACACACACACACACACACACACACACACAAAACACACACACACACACTTGTTTTTTTTGCTAAGGCTGGATTTCGAGAGAAACCACAACTCGCCATGTCAGGCTGGGACTTCGGAATTTTCACCCCCTCCCCCGATAATGGGAATCCAAGACTTTGACTTGGACGGCCCCTCTTTTGGGTGCAAAATCCAACCCGCCTTGCTAAAGACAGGTGGTTTCGGAAGACACGGAGCAACACCGAACCAAGGCGTTTCCGTTTCATCCGATCTTCTTTGCAACCCACAAAAAAATGGCCATGCCAAGCTCGGGCTGGGTGAATCATGCTGGTTCCTGTTGGGATGGATGAAGCCTTAGTGAAACTGGCTGAACAAAAAATGCCATCTGGCGCGAAGTGAATTTTGCCCCACAGAAATACAACCCATCGGGGACCGCTTCAGCCAGGAACCTGCAAGGAGATCTCTCGCAGGCTGAGATGTGGGACCATTGCAAAAGCCGGCCATGCGTTCATCTCCGCTGTGAGTTTTCGTCAAAACCTGGTATTGGAGGAAGCTACCCAATCTTCATGGGAAGGGCTGCCGTATTGGAGTGGATATTGAACCCAAAGGATCTCTGATCCGTTGAAACAACGCCAACAATTCCAATTGGACTTGGCCGATGCGACATGATGTCATAAACCAAAAGGTGACGTTCACCATCCCAGGGTGAACAAATCAACATGAAACCCAACACCTTTCTTGGGGGAAGTGGCTCCATACATGGAGGTTTCTGAAACGCATCTTCATTTGCAGGTGGGTAGAATGTATTTCCATATTTAGTCAAGTGGGCATCTCGGAACGGAAATCAGTTCCGAATCGGGACTGTTTGCTGAAAAGTAGAGGCTTGACCAGTGGCCTTTTCGACAGATTCATGGCGCTGCGAAATGAGCAGAACCAAACTAAACCAGCGCCGTCTATCTTCACCTGGGCTGTGGGAAATGACCACTTCTGTGATACAACAGAAAGGGCTTGCCAAAGACCAACCCCTTGCTCCCACCCTCCCAAGCTGACCTTTTCCTGAGGCTCCGCGCCGCATGCGACGGATACGCCGCGGGCTGAGCGGCACCTGCGAAAGGCGCGACGCTCACTCGGGTGCGTCTCTTGTGGTACCCTGGTGTCCCCTGAAGACTCGATAGTTGCCGGATCTGCTAGTGACCACAATTGGAGACTCTCTCAAACTATCAGTTTTCCATGGTTGCCTTTTAAACTAACCAGGGCTGTTCTGATTTGCACCCGGTGAGGTAAAGGGCACCTTGGAGCTTGCTTACGCATGCCATTCAGCCCTGGCACTGCGCCTGCAGCCCTCAGACAGTCCCAAAGCTTCCAAATCCACCCCGCCCAATCTGCTCGGTCGGGCAAGCCAGGGTCGGTCAGCAATTCTCCTTTTGGTTCTTATGGCTACCTATAGATTTGATGCCACCAAGCTTCCCTTTGCCTTGGCTACCTGTAGACAGCACCCAGGCTGAGTGGCCAGAGCTCTGGGGCTCCGGCTCTCAAAAACGCTGAGTGTTCTTTTGGGTTCCCTTTGAAGCCCTAAAAAAGATAAGGTCCAAAAAACACCACCTGCACCCTCAAACTACCCCTAAAAATGGGATTTCACTCCATCATTTTGGGGCTGTATCCCATGTTTCTGGGAATTTGGAGGGGTTAGGCACCCATCTTCTCCCAGGACGCCTTTCCACCTTTCCGAGCTTTAAAAACATGAAAACAGAATCATTCAGGCACCTCTGGGCAGATGCGGAATGGGCTTTCCAAAAGACCGACATGCCAAGATTTCATGGGTCATGGGGAGGTTTGCAATGCTGGCAAGCGCCGAGAAAAGCCCTGGCAAGTAGGACGTCCAAATAGAGGTGTTTCGCTTGTCATGCACACATGCATACATGCACACATGCGTGCGAACACTTGCACACAAAGTTAGAGCTGGACGCGCCTTTGCCGGCAGCCGCGGGCGCGGGCGCGGCGCCTTTGCTCGCACCTGGCAATTCCCTCTTGAGGCTGTCTCCCCCAAAGATTTAGAACTTCTTGGTACCCTACCCTCTCCACTAACATGCGACCCACCGCGCTCCTTCAAAGGAAAATGGCCTTCCACGCCCCTCTGAGGTTCCGTGCTTGTGGAGAGGGTAGTCTTTCCAGGGTTCTCTCCAAAACTTCAACAGCTTTTGGCTCTGAAGGAGTCAGGACGGTTACCGTACTATGCCAATCCGGCAATCTTGAGGGTTCTCATCAACCAAATAGGAGTCGGCCAAGCACTCGGGGTTACCCACCAGAAAGGACAAGTGCAAGGGGCCCCTTTATATGAAAACCATGCGAAAAGATAGGTGCCCTCAATAAACCAAACGTACACACACAATGAGTCGTCAACAAACACACCCAGCTAGAGCTGGACGCGCCTTTGCCGGCAGCCGCGGGCGCGGGCGCGGCGCCTTTGCTCGCACCTGGCAATGCCCTCTTGAGGCTGTCTCCTCCAAAGTTTTAGAACTTCTTGGTACCCTACCCTCTCCACTAAAATGCGACCCACCGCGCTCCTTCAAAGGAAAATGGCCTTCCACGCCCCTCTGAGGTTCCGTGCTTGTGGAGAGGGTAGTCTTCCCAGGGTTCTCTCCAAAACTTCAAAAGCTTTTGGCTTTGAAGGAGTCAGGACGGTTACCGTACTATGCCAATCCGTGCATCTTGAGGGTTCTCATCAGCCAAATAGGAGTCGGCCAGATAGTCGGGGTTGGCGTTCAGACTATACTCTGTCTCCGGCACATACTGAGCAATCATCTCCCTTGCTGCCGCCAAAAGGTGATGAATAGAACTTGACTACTGTGGATGAACGAAATACGGCAGCAGTTGGTAGGCGGCTTATCACACTTTTTCATAGGGCTTCATCTACCCCAACAGGTGAAGGATGCTGCGCATGCACGGTAGGATTCAACGTTTGAGATGGTTTTATAGAGGGTGAGTTTGGACAAGTCAGACCTATGCGTCTTTTTGGTTGAGGCTACCCTTTTCCAGGTTGGCATATTTGTTTTTTGGGGGAGAGGGTCCCTTAAAAATGAAAGCTTTCCTCCGCTGTGAAAGCTCTGAAGGTTGATCTTGCCATTCTCTCGCACCTGTGAGAGGCCGACCGAGCTCAGGGTCCTTTGGGCAGGGGTAGTTGTTCAATTTATCCATGGCGTCACCCACATTTTGCGCCCAGCTCAGGTGCTGTTATGTATCCAGTGTTTGAAAGACCCACGTGCCACTGCCCGGGGGTTAAAAATAGGCAACCATTACTTTCTTGTGTTGGGGGGGGGAAGTGAGAGACCTGGAAAAAAAGTGAACCTTGTTGGGGCCATGACCAAAAATGGGCCAGAACGGGCAAACCAATCGGTCAGGGCGATTCGCTTTGGGCAACCTAGCTGGCCACAGGGCCTTTGCCTGCTGAAGCAAGAAGCGTCAAAATTGGCTCTAGAGCTTCTGTGGAGCATGCCTTTTGTCTGGCCATTGAAACCACCGCGCCACCCGTTAAATCGGCTCAATACCCAAGATTGAGTCTGCAAATGCACAGGGAACCCGTGCCCCGATTTGAGACAAAGCCGCCGTCGAAAGCTTTGTCCGCCCAGAAGTGGCTCCTTCCCAGAAAGCTGGTCCAATAGGTCCAAAAATATTTGGCAAGTAGTCAGGGGGGTGATGTTTGGTCAACCCGTTCACCCAACTTTTGATCCTCGTCTCCAACCCTTCGGCGCCCAGAAGCTGCGCAGCCCGACACTGGAAAGGATTCGCCACGCTTCAGCTTCCCTCAAATTTAGTGGTTTGGAGCCTGGTGGCTTGGTCTTCCGGGGTGGCAAGATGAGGTTCCAATCCCAACACCACCAATCCAAACCACAAAGTCAGGGTAACCTGAACACTGGGGGACCCAATCAATAAACAAACAAAAAATCGGCTTCCTTGTGCTAGCTTTCAAGCGCAAAAACCGAACTTGTCCACTTGTTTGGGGCTGTTTGGAGACAACCGCTTCCGAGCCAGGGCTTCACACTCGAAGGAATCAAACTGGTACCCTTCCACAAACCAAGAGACCAAGCAAGCATTTCCCCATCCATCTGTCCGAAAAAAGTTAAAGGATTGCTGTCTCTTTGAAGCTGAGGTGAAACAAATCCCCGCTCGGAAGAATGTGCGCAGAAGACCTCGGCGCGCCTGCACGTGCTGCAAGGACTTCGCCGCATCGTCCACCTGGCCCAGGAAAAGAGGGTCCTCAGCATAGGTGTCCTTTTGAAAATAGATGGCCCTGGTAGATGATTGAACCAGGTAAACCAAGAATCGCCCGCTAAGTATTTTTCAAGCAAACCAACCAAAAAGAACACCTACGGTCTTCGGATGCCACGAACCATGGAGCATGCTTCGCGGTTCTGAATCTGGGTGCATCGCCAATCCATGAGGGGGAATTCCCTTGAAGGGGGCGAGAATCTTCCCGGTAGACCCGACTCATAGAAACCAAACGGGGAGCAAAAAGATTTGGATCCACCTCGGCTCCTTCAAAAGGCATCCCTGGCATGAATGTTGACCCCTAAGATTAAGGCCTCATTCGAGCGCCCCTCTGATTCTGGGGGCTCCACCCCGCCCCTTTCGCCTTTGCTCGGCGCGGGAGCGGCGGCCGGTGCGGCGGCTGGCGCGGCGGCCGGCGCGGCCGGCGCCGCCGGCGGCCCATCTGCCGCGAGATGAAGCGTACGCCACTCCGGGTTGGAGGTTTCCCCAGCGTTTGAAATCTTTGCGAAGCATCCGACTGCGAACAAAACCTGGTGGAAAGCTAACCAGAACCCGCAACCCTTGATTTCGTGCGCTTGGAAGACCCAAGGGCGCCAATCACCTGCAGATTTTGCGAGGGGATTGGCCAATCAGGTTGAAGCCGAGAGCAAACTGATTGGTCAACCAAGAGCAAACCAAAGACTTTCCGCAAGCCATTGTGTGCAATGCTAGGGGGGTGAAGAGATCTTGTTCTATCCCTAACCATAATTGGACCCTCCATTCAAAATGTCTCTCAAAACAGGCCTTTTGAAGTACCTAGATTCTTAAGGCGGAGTGGGCCTCTGGGCAATAGTTTGCCTTGCGAAATTGGATTTAAGGGGAGCATGCAAGGACCTTCCTGGGACTTGCTCGTTTTGGCCCCGAAGCAGTGAGCTCATGAAACGCAATTTGCTGGTTCTCCTTTGAATTCCCCGTCACACACCCAAACAAGGTAACTCGCAAAAAAGAAAAGCACACCCGTTTTGGGGGGGGGTTCTCAAAATAAGGATCCCCTAAGCAATGCCGGGTTTCCTCTTGGCTTCCCTTTGGATTCCAACACAAGTGGGGCCATTTTGATATATATATATATATACACATAAAACTTGCCCGAACGCGACACGGCGGTTTTCGATTTGCGCCTCCGTTCTCCGGCATGGGAAAGGCGTCCTAGCACGAGACTCAAGAGCCAAAGCTCAGATTGCTTGGGTAATGGACATGATTCATCTCTGGACCCCTTGGGTTGCTTTGGGGAAAACTTACAATGGGGGTCTTTGAATCTTTGGGGGTCTGTTGGGGCACTTGCCATGTATTTGTGTTGAACCCATGGAAGATGTCCCCCCTACCGATTCGGCGCCTCCAAGTCTTCCAAGATGCCCAGGAAGCTCTGAGCACTCAGCGGCTTCTTGGTGCTGTTGCCTCCGGGCAGCTGAACGCCTTGACACCTCCAAGGACGTTCCATTCCCCCAGGTCTCAAAGGAACTTGCGGGTGTGATAGGTAGGGAATGTCCCAGTGTGTTGGGGATGAACAGAAGGGGATTCCCTTAAAGGAAGCCACAGGGGATTGTTTATGGGTGTCACTCCCTCATTCCCTGCTGAGCACAAGCAGGTGAATTTGGGTGAAACTCCATTTTTCGGACTCATTCTTCGGTGAGTCCCGTCAATCATGTTGCAAAAGGAAATGAGAGCGAATGTTGACCATTGCTCTTCGCCAAAATAGAAAGGTCCTCTTTACCAAAAGTATATGGGTTTGTCTCAAAATAAGAACCCACACAATTCCTGGTGTCCCCTTGGTTCCACATTAAACCAAGTCAAAAAATGGATATGTTTGCAAAAAGACAAACTCACATGATTCACGAAACTGAAAGCCGAAAGGATATGCTGCCCGCTCCTTCAAAGTGATCCACAGAGCGGGGTGCTGGGCCACACCCAAAATCCGCTTGCTTATCCGCTGGTGGGAAAACGCGGAACTGCTTAAGCAACCATTTTTCCTGCTTGCAAACTTCTGGCAGAAATTCCGCCTTTTCCCTTGCCTTTTGCCAATGTGGTTCCAAGGATGGCGACAGAAAAGGCAAGGCATTCATCCTGTTACCCTGGGCCAAGCTCTCAGGACTCACTTCCGGTTTCCGTCGGTATCTGGCTGTTTTTTGGTGCTCACATCATCTTTCTTTTGGGGTCTCAGGGGCGGCGGGTTTGCTCCAATTGGAGGACGCTTTCATGCTCGGTTGGAAGGAAACAAAGGTTCACCAACTATGTGCGGGTCCTCAAGATTCAGAAACATCCCCGGTTTGTACTCACAAAAAGCTGCAGTGTTCATCTGGGCGGGGTTAGAACTAAAAACCATGAATTATCATTCTTCACCCACATCAACGTTCTGCTTGAGATTCTGCTTGATGTTCACAGCTTGGAAGCTAGCTCGAACGGCCAGAAACGATCAGCATCAAGCCATCTCTTCAAACCGCTAACTGATAAAACAATCTTAATCCACTTCTATTTGCCAAAAGCCATGCTCGAAATGATTTGAAGCAAAGGATTCACAAAATAGCAGACCGGGGAAGACACGCAAAACTCGCCCATCCACTTGTTTTTTGGTCCTTTTGGGGCGATTTCAATCGTGGGCTCTTACGCGAAAACGGAGCATGGCTAGGTCCTTCAGCAGAGAGGGTAGAATAAGGGTACCCTGTAGGGGAAGCCTCCCCCCCAAAAAAGAAAAAGGGGGAACCTAGATGGGCGCTCAGGAGCTGGCCCCAGAAGTCGTAGAAGCCAGCCCAGGGCGCCGACATCTTGTCCTCGAGTGTTGGTGGCGCGGACTGATTGCCCAGAAACACCCAAGGCCTCCATTTCCGTAAATTCAAAATGGCCCTGACTCTCTTTCTAGCTAGAAGCGTCAGCTTGGCGGGGAAAATGCGTCATAAAATGGGGGAAACACAAGAAACTGTGGGTTTCCCTTTAAACCCAGCACACAAAAAAGGGTATCCCATCTGCTTCTCCTGGCCAAAACAGAAGTGGTGGCTCCCTGACCGATTTGATTCGGCACGAGTTGGTCGGATTCGTTCAGCAGCCCCAAACCAAACCTGCGTTGTTGTCCGATCTGTCAATTTTGTTGTTGTTGTTGTTGTTGTTGTTGTTGTTGTTGTTGTTGTTGTTGTTGTTGTTGTTGTTGTTGTTGTTGTTGTTGTTGTTGTTGTTGTTGTTGTTGTTGTTGTTGTTGTTGTTGTTGTTGTTGTTGTTGTTGTTGTTGTTGTTGTTGTTGTTGTTGTTGTTGTTGTTGTTGTTGTTGTTGTTGTTGTTGTTGTTGTTGTTGTTGTTGTTGTTGTTGTTGTTGTTGTTGTTGTTGTTGTTGTTGTTGTTGTTGTTGTTGTTGTTGTTGTTGTTGTTGTTGTTGTTGTTGTTGTTGTTGTTGTTGTTGTTGTTGTTGTTGTTGTTGTTGTTGTTGTTGTTGTTGTTGTTGTTGTTGTTGTTGTTGTTGTTGTTGTTGTTGTTGTTGTTGTTGTTGTTGTTGTTGTTGTTGTTGTTGTTGTTGTTGTTGTTGTTGTTGTTGTTGTTGTTGTTGTTGTTGGAAATTGTTTTGTTGTTGTTGTTGTTGCTGTTGTTGTTGCTGTTGCTGGCGCTGTTGCTGCTGCTGCTGCTGTTGCTGTTGCTGTTGTTGCTGTTGTTGCTGTTGTTGTTGTTGTTGCTGTTGTTGCTGTTGTTGCTGCTGTTGCTGCTGTTGCTGCTGTTGTTGCTGTTGTCGTCGTCGTTGTTGTTGCGGTTGTGGTCGTGGTTGTGGTGGTGGTTGTTGTTCTTGTTGTTGTTGCTGCTGCTGCTGCTGCTGGTGTTGTTGTTGTTGTTGATGATTGTTGTTGATTGTTGTTGATTGTTGTTGATTGTTGTTGATTGTTGTTGATTGTTGCTGATTGTTGCTGATGGTTGTTGATGGTTGTTGATGGTTGTTGATGGTTGTTGATGGTTGTTGATTGTTGTTGATCAGGGTCACAAGATTTGACATTAAACAAGGCCAACCAGTAAGGACGGGCCATATCCCTTTTTCTCATCTAGCAGAACCCAGTTCCATGATACACATGGCTTGCACTGACTTGAGCGAATTAGCCTTTTCCTGCATCTTCAAGCAGGTCAGCAAATCCGCCCGCTCATGGCGAGTGAGTGGCGCGCTTTCCCACTCACTAGCTAGGGAAACCAAAGATACGTACAGCAAAGGAAAGCTGCCGCAAAAGTCACCGACCTTGCGGCACGTCAAGCCCAGCCGGAGAGTAGTCGACAAGATGCACATGGCTGTACACGGATGCAACGCCTTTACACTTAAGAGTGCATGCCACACTTCAGAGAAGACAGCCGTAGGCTCATCCCACGTCAAGACGCCCAAGGTTTTCGCGCCGGCGCTCACACGAGCTGGCGGGCACTGCGGCAACCTCTTTCCGTAGGCGAAGCTTGCCACATCCGAGCAGGAGGGCTCGCACCTGGGAACGCGCACGAGCCACGCAAACACACACGCACACGCACACGCACACGAACACGCCCAAGCACAAGAGTACAAGCGCCCGCGCCCGCGCGCGCGCACATGCACCGCACACGCACACGCACGCGCACGCGCACACGAACAGGCACAGGCACAGGCACAGGCACAGGCGCAGGCGCCCGCGCACGCGCACGCGCGCGTGCACGCACGCACGCAACAAACGCACGCACGCACGCACGCACGCACGCACGCACGCACCCACACGCACGCACGCACCCACACGCACGCACGCACGCACGCACGCACGCACGCACGCACGCGCACACATGCGCACACTTGCGCACACGCGCTACGAAAGTATTAATGAGCTTGCTAAGCCGCTGAGAGCTAGCTGGAGCTGGGGGACATTTCCTCGGAGTGCTCGGCACTGGCGAGTGCTTCCTCGGCGTGCTCGGTGATGTGGAGCGCTTCTCTGGGGTGCTCGGAGCCGCGGGGCGTGTCCTGGGATTGCCCAGCGAAAAGTTAACTCACAGGCGTTTGTCGAATGATATTCTCACGCCCTGCCAAAGCCTGCAAGCGCAAATTGTGAAAATGTTTGTCCCGCAAAGGATCGGCGAGCAAGGCGGGTCGGATTCGTCAGCAACATCAGCTAGCGCTGCCACCAGAGGACATGGTGCATCTGCAGCTTTCCTGAGATGTTAGTCTTGGTTTTGGAAACGTCTGAGATTTTGGGGCACCCATTTTAGGTTGCTGCATGAAACCAGTTTACCAGCTGAGAACATACGCGGGCCTGTGACTCCACAATTGCCTATCAACACAAGTCGCAACGCACCGTTGGTTTCCACACACGGGTCGCAATCCGGCAATGGCAAAACGCGCGCAAGAAGGCTTGAGGTTGCGAACGCACAGCTCGTGGCGTTAGACAATTGCCTTCCTACGCAGGTCTCAAACGACACAATAGAAGATCCTTCAACAAATGGACAACAAACATTGGATAGGTATTGACGCTCGCAGCCGCATCCCGTTCAGCTTTCTGTGTTACTTGGACTGGCGCAACGTGGTTCAAGAAAATATTGCGCACCAAAGAAGAGGTTGGGGCAATCGGCAAAAGATCGTGCCTTACAGCTCCTGAGGCGCAAGGCCACGATTGAAGGCGACACATCTGAGGAGGCACCTGGATCATCTCCACAACCACGACGAACAAGGTGTTCATGGCGGGCGCTAGCATATGTCCTTGCCAGGCGGCATACAGAGTTTCTGATTGATAGCAAGGTACACAAAACCATGCTGGAAAACTTGCTAGAAGATTAGTTGGGGAGCTTGAGGCTGCCCACTGCCTTCGCGACTGTGGCCAAATCTCGCAAGCCTCTATAGCATACAAACCAGGGTCCCTCTGCCCCAATAACATCCAGCAAGAGCTTGGTTGCCAAGTCCTCAGCCTCGCGCACTTTATCCTTGAGATTCTGGCTCTGCAGAGCGACTCCGCGGAGTGGCTCACTGCTTTTCCCACCGCAGTCGAATGCCCCATCTGCATTCTTCCGCATGGTGCGGCAGTGCAAGAACTTGCCTTAGACGTTTCGAGCACGGTGGCCCTAGTTGGTGTGCTATTTCTCCTTCACTATGGCAACGTTGCAGGCCACCACTTTCAAAACACTGACAGCTTGCTATTGAACACGATAATGCCTTGGCAATTTCACAAATCAAAAGCGTGGTCGTTCTCCCAGAATTTTCGTCACGCTTCAAAACGGCCAAGGAGCAGGAAGCATTTACGCACTTGCCCCGAGCTTGCTTCGCACGCTTCGACGCAGGTTCTGCCATTGAATCCATCACCGGCGCAGACATTGGAGTGTGGCCTTCCACCTGAAAAATATGTGGCAAGTCTTGACGCGTCTGGAAAGAAGCAGTGGTAAAAGAGACCAGTTTTGCAATGTTTTGGTTTTCTACACAGTATCCCCCCTTCTTCCTTTGGTGGTCTTCAAGCCAGGGAATGCGCCAACATGACTCTCAAACTTCAGCTTTGCAACAAGAGTGTGATACATATGGCAGTCGAGCTCTCTCCCTTCACGCCGCTGCAACATTTTCAGCGGATACTGGCCCAAAGGCCAGGCAACCGCCCAAGTTGTGTCATTGGGCACTCTTGCAACGCTTCGGGGCGGATGCAAATGGAAGGCAACAGCTACTTGAAACAAGAGTAGTTCAACAGCCCGTCGCCTACAGAGCCGAAAAAAAGCACCTGGAGCGCACGAACGCGCCCTTGAAGGCCTTGCTCTCAGTGCATTCAACGCCAGCACTCCCGTGTGCAAACACGAATGCTACCGTAGAATCATTGGCTTCTAGTGGCAGGCTGTTACAAACTGGCAAACTGGCACACAAAGAGCTGCTGGCCTTCACAGGCCGTTACATCAGCAAAAGTCAATCTGATGGTCAGGGCCTGCTGTCGCTACACGCAAAATTGCACTCGAAAGCCGGCGAAGGTACAAATGAGGCCATAGGCCAATCAGCATCACAGTCGCTTTGCAACGAGCAAAGCTTGAAATCTGAATGCTAGTAGTCACACAGAACATCTCTCAAGCTCAAGCTAGACGGAAAGGCCCGCCCTTCATGACCTGCAGCGCTGCGCAGGCTTGCAATATCAAACTGTTGCCAAGCATATTGAGACTCCGGCCAAGTTAGCAGCACTCACCAATGCCACACCACACGGAATGAACTGCCCGCTCTGCACTTTCCAGACGGAGCACAGCTTGCTCTTCTTCAGGGTCAAGTTGTTGACCTGCACAGCGCTGCCCAAACACCATGCCTTCTCGTGCTCCGCTGGAGCGATCCTTTGAACGTGCTTACTAACTACTACGTTCGAGCTTGGAGCGCAAGGCCCAAGTTACAAAGCAACAAAATCACACCAAACACGTTGTCAGCCCCAACCAATGTTTGCAACAAAACAAAAATTCGCCATCTGAAGATTCTGCAGCGTATGAAGGCGTACCCCAAAAAACGAAAAAAAGAAACAGACCTTGGCTGCTTTCGAGGCCGCCTAATCGCTTCTTCCTCATAGTACAGATCCCCCTAATCATAAACTGTTTCCCACAATTCTGAAAATAACAACACTAGGCTACTTGTAAACGCCATTCTCCTCCCCATTCTCAAATCCAGCCGTGTTGGGGGACCATTTTTTACGTTTGAATATTTATTCAACATCGAAAGGGCTGCGGTTTCCCTTGCCACAGCATTTGGTGACTTTTTGCAGCTTGGAAAGGGGGGGTGCCCCAGATTCTTCCCCAGCATTCCAAAACACGCAACACACAACACAACACACGACAATGAGAACGACAACGAGCTGA